TCGGCGACGACTAATTTTAGAAAAAAATGTCAGAAAATCTGTTCTATAGCCGAGAAAATTGCCCACAAAAAATTTCTTATCATAATTTCCACTAAATTCATTCATTATCATGATAATTCAATAGTCAACAAGATGAAAAAAGGCTATGACTTTTTTAATTCCCAAAAAAAATATTTTAATTGGTTTAATTATCTCGAAAATTAGTTGATGTAGAGAAAAATATCAAGAGAGTTTCATCGCAGTTGGGGCAATTAAAAAAAAAGATGTGACGTTTTCACGAGCATATAAAAAGCTTACAGTCATTGGGATTTGCTCATAAAATTAATGGTTAGTGAGATACTCGAAAGAATAAAGAATTGTAAAACGTCAGGTCGTTGGGTAGTTTCTCTTACGTTTTGCCAAAGTACTGAATTATTATCAATAACCAGTGATTCATGTAACATATCAAACTGACTCGATAAAATTTGTAGAAGTCACGTACACGCGAAAATTGAGACAACTTGAGACGAGAGATAATTGTTCGCCCACGTGCTTCCCACGTCCCTAAATGTCGAAAAAGGGAACGTGGTTATTAGTCTCAGCCTTGTAACCGTTTGTTACTTATCTTTATACTGTAATTTCACCGAGTCTGGGCATTCATTTCTCCACAGAAAGTTCCTCCAAACGTTAAATTTGCATTTTTGTGCGTCCAAAGGAGCTGAGAACACAGAATTCAGTAGTAAAATGGGAAAACTTCGTGCGTCAATTGTACTTTTCTACTGACTCATCGCTGAATCAAAGAATATCATGAAATCATGATCATGAAATTCGATTTTATTTTTATGAAAAACTTCGTGTTTTTAGATACAACATTTTTCATGGAGATTAATATGTTGAAAAATATTTTGCAATTTCGAACTCTTGAGGCCGCAATTAGTTATCCTGCCACAAAAAATTGGTAATTTTGGATTTGCAGAAACCAATGCTTCCCCTCAGAAGCAAAAATCAAACGAAAAACGTGGAAAATTAGAAGCGATGAATTTCTACAGAAAAAGTTCAATAGAAAACCAATAGAATTTCCCAGAGAATCCACCAGATATTTTTCTACCGCATTTTTCTGCACACGTGAAACCCCCCAACACAGTGAAAATCTCCTGACTGACTCATTGGCTGACAAAAATAATCTTAAAAACCCGCAAACAAAGAGCACTGATAACGCAAAATACCTTAAACCCGAGAAATCCCCCGGTGCAGGTGAAGATGTCCATGGAGGTAGCGATTACAACAATTAATCAAAGGATTACACGCAATCACAAATGCACACGATCACATCCTATTGCCATCATCATTACTAATGCTAGGATAGCGTGAAACGCCTTACCTCAGCATCAGGTATCGCGCAGTTGCGGAAAATAAAATAGTGAATCATCAAGCCGGAGGATACAGCGACTATTTACTCAAATCCCTCTGCTCTTTCGAAGTGTTTTCACTCCACAGAAAATGCCCAATCGTATTTCGAAACAATTGTTGCATAATTAACGAGGTCTCGACTGAGGGGAAATCGCGAATACTGGATTTTTCGTTAATTTGTGGGTCTTTAAACATTGATAAGGTGAGATATACGTGAGTGAGGCGATAGCTTATCTCGTGTCATTTCGATGCTTCATGAGTATTCCTTTATCGATGGGTGATTGAGGCCTTTTCCAGTGTGTTTTCGTGTTTGAAAATATGGAAACAAAGTCGATGAGTCATCGGGTAATTACAAATGATGTCCCATTGTGTTGGATCTACACGGAGAGAAAAACGCACAAGTTCTCAACCAACAAAATCGTTAGTTAGGGAAATTTGGGCCGACAAAATCGTTAGGTGAAAATAACCAAAAAGATAATTGGTTCGAATTTGAATGTGTCAAACATGAATAATTAGTCCGCTTTCAACAACGGCGGAATATTTGGCTCAAGAGGCGATCATTCGTGCAAGCAAGGGTAGCCATGCCCATTAATTATGATTACTGTTAAATTGTCAAGTTGTCAATTAGTTAATATCAGTTAAATTTTTATTACTGAAGTAATCATCAATTTAAATAGGCAAATTTAGGATGATTCATTAATCAGTAATTGAGTTGGGAAAATTGACGATTATTTGAGTGACTCAAGAATAAAATATAGTTGATTCAAGTATATTTTGTACTCGAATGGGGCACGGGTGTTTCAATTCGATTGATTGATTGATTGATTGAAGTTTATTCACTGTACAGTATGTTGTACAAAAGTATAAATGACTAAAGGCACACAGCACTATAGGGAAAATAAAAATAAAGGTAATGCAAATGTTAGGGTGATTATATCGAGGATGATTATTTCATATCAGCCCGGGGTGTACCAAGCGCTCTCAGGTGTAATATAAGGGTCAGACACTAAGTGTAAGAATATAAGGGTCAACAACTGGAGGTGAAAAAATGGGGCTCGGAATATTAGAGTTAAAAACTGAGGGCCTGAATGTAAAGATGAAGGAGTGAGGGTCAGAATTTTAGGGTTAAAAAGAGAGGGTCAGAATATTAGGATCGCCGATTCGATCGGTAAAAAATACACATCTGTGGATGCAAAAATTATTCTCCAGTTCAGTAAAATTTCCCACACCGCTAGGGTATTTTTTCCATTCGTCTGAAGGTCATGGGTTCGAATGGAAGTGAAATTTTACCGAACGTGTTCGGTAAAAAATCATTCTCCGTCACAGAAAAATTAAACGCAATATTGAGCGATCATTTACGTTCACCGGGATAATTTTTGATGGACTTCAGGGTAAATTTGACAGTTCCGGCGCAAATTCTCCTCCCGTTCGGTGAATTTTCCTGGGCCAACGGAGAAAAATTCACTATTCGTCTCGCACCTTTTCCCCGATATAGAGTGCAAAAATACTGAAAATCAAGTTCGCTCCACGATTTGACTTGTTCGGTAATTTTCCTCCGCCCATATTTCCTCCGTTTCCCTCGCAAAATTTCACTCCCACAATTTTCCGCACAAATTCCCCCCAATAAACTCTCACAAAAAATAATGCACAGCGCACTTCCCCAGGCTCGTAAAAATGTGAAACTTTCGTGTGCATACGTAAACCTAGACTATAAACCGCACCGATCGCAGTTGCCGGTTGGCATTGCCAATGGAAAAATAATAGAACAGTTAAAAAAACTCACGGCATATTTGTCCTTGTAGAACAGCGAGCTCGTCGACATGTCGTTAACAATCCAACTATTAACACAGTACCAAGGTAGGCAGTATCATAGCTGTCAATCTATCTGCATCAAATGTCTTCATGAGCTCTCCCCATGAATTCCCTCTGCTGTTTTTATTTTCAATTACTCTGATTTTATTTATTCCTTGACACTGACACTTCAATAACGTCACACTATCACGTGTACACCTGAGTAATAACTCTCAGAGACTTGACAATCCCGAGGAGAAATGAATAAATTTCTAATTTGAATGAAAAAATTTAATTTTCATTTCGAAGAAAAATCTATTCAATCCTCATTTCGTTAAAGAAACTCGAGACAATGTCCTCCGTCGATTTTTTTTATTTTACAATCGGTTTATTTTTTCTCTTATTTTAAATTCTGTGAGAGGATTAATTCTATCACCTGTGGATCGAGCCTGCAGGAGAAAGAGACTGGTGTACCGTCTCCATGTCCAGTTAGTTCGTGGCCACCAGCCACAGGCAGAAGGGTAAAGCCCCACCAGGATCCCCTCCCCCTTCTGCTTCGTATGGATGTCGAGTGACCTACAATCTACAACGTGTGTAATAGTAATGGTACTATCCCCCCCCCGCCCCTCCCGTTCTAGTCTCTCATTGGTTTTATTCTGTTGTTTATGCGGAGGTGATGGGGATCGAGTTACTCTCTCTTCGCGTCCTGGTGTTGACTTCCTGTTGCTTCCTATCGGTGCAACGGGCCGAGTCGAAGGACGTCGCGATTGATATGGGATTGAGTCGATGTTGAGCGGTTCTGGGTAGATCGAGCGATTGGAGAAGAGTATATTTCGATACGCGTGCGTAAAAGTGGTTTATGATACGTGAGAAAAAAAGGGCGCTTTTTTGCACGCTTCCCGCGGAGAGAACCGCCTTTTTCTCACCGGTATAAAATATCGTACGATACGTGTGAAAATATGTACTTCCTAACGAGTGTCGTTACAAACACTCTCACAGTGGTCACCAACTAATTACGATACTTTTTCATCACTGGGGCGTAAAAATCCTACTTTTCACACATCGTGATGAAAAATAGGGTTCGACACTCGTGGGAAAAGTGTTCTTTGACCCGTGGGAGCGTAGCACTCGTCTTCGGTAAACGCTGCACACCCTCCACGGGTCAAAAAACACTTTTCATCACTTGTACGCAAAGTGAAATTTTACGCATGCTCTGTGTACGCAATATCCCACTTTTCACACTTGTGATAAAATAGTATATTTCGATACAATTGCGGGAAAGTGTTTTTGGGCTCGTGGGAGGTTTATAGCACGAGCCGAAGGCGAAGGCTTTTTCCCGCGAGTATCGAACCCTATTTTTCATCACAATGTGCGGGAAGTGGAGTTTTGCGCACGCGGAGCGTGCGTAAAATGTAATGTGCGTAAAGTTGTTTTAACGAAAGTTTTTCAGACATGGACCTGTCATCCCCATTGTGAGAAAGTCAAGTCTAGTCTCCACTTCATCATTTGGAGCCCCGGAAAAGCCCAGTTGGACCCGAAAAGAGCCATTTCGTTCTGAAGAGTTCAATATGAAGGTACAATCCTCGCGAAGCTTCACGGTTTACGATAGAAATTAACGTCGGCTGGATCTGTACATTTTTTACATTTATAACATAAATTACTGGTTTTTTACAATGCCATGCAAAACACTGCGGTTGCCGACAGATGCCCAACCGCTGACGATGAATAAATCTCACATTCAAACCTCCCACCGACGCCTCTCGCCCGCGCACATGCGCAGAACTGCCTCGAGTAATCGCTCCCATCGATACATCGAAACAAGTCTCTATTGTGTGGCGCGATATTGCGAGCCAAAGGTGCGCTGTGTGTTTGTTTCTTTCCCACGGACGATAGCGGTTCGTTAAAATGAGTCAAGAAAATCAGTAAGTAGACAATAATCCGTTTAAACACCCCCAAAACCCCCCGCGGAGGCGCCCCCCGCCCCACCTCGAGCGATTTAAACTGATAAATGCCCCCAAGAACCCCGAAAAATCGTGATAAACGCCCCGTGGCTATCGCAACACCGCCATGTTGTTGAGAATGCTATTGATTCCTGAAGTTTCTAGAATAAACCGGTGTCTATCGCCGTTGTTATCGCCCCAAAATCGTCAATTAAATTGCGAAAAAATTCGACAGCCCTTTCAACATCATCTCCAATGCATCCAAGAGCTCAACGCGACGACCTTTGGGCCCAAAACCCGTGGCGAACCCCAGAATCACCCCCGGGAAGAGATGCCTTGCACCTTCTAGGGTTTCACTCTTTTCTCCTCGCAATTTATTTTCGATGTATAAATAACGACTGCATCACACGGGTCGCGAGCATTATTCAATCGTTGGGTCATCGAAGGGTCTGAGCTTTTCGGGCCGACAGGAATTTCAAGGGTCAATTGTCGCCACTTCCTGTCTAATGACTAGCGTTTTCTTTGGGAGGCGAATTGCAGGAATTTCTAACCTAGAATTCTCCTGATTGACCGCGTGCCACAGCGTTTTTTCGGTTTCGAGGGGTTCATATTTGCATTTGTCGGGGATTATGAGATGGAAGTCTTGATTTTGTTGAAAATGATTTAGTAAATCCTGGGGAAGTGAGAAATTTGGAGATGGAGGCAGGAGAGAGTGGAAAAATTATGCTAGAGAAATTGTAGTTTTTGGAAATTTGAGATTATGTCGGTAATGAGTGGATTTAGAAAAAAATGAGAAAAGAAATTTTTTGTAGGAAATTTCATGAGCTACAAAAAGTGTTCTCTCACTTTTTTGTCTCAAATGTTTCGATATTGAGAAAAGAAATTATTGAGATCTCTAAAGTTGTAATAATAAAATTATTTTAACATGTTTTCGAAACGAGGATCAATTGCAGCTTAATTTAAATTGATATCCATTTCATTTCAATATTCTCAACTCTCCTAAATTAACTCAAAGATGATTAAATCCCCCTCATGACTAATAAACCCCTCTCAACTGATATACTCTCATAAAAAAGCAAATACCAACGAATTTACACAAAAAAAATGAATTAAAATCCAATGATTAACGACCGGTCAAAATAAAACATCACTAAAAACAACAAATTAAGAAATAAAAATAAAACTTTGGCAAAAAGAATAAATTACGGAATTCTCCATACCGTAATGATTGTAACGATAATGTATTGTCCCTAATTAATATCACTCCCTGATTATTCCAGAGTAACTCCTCCCCCAGTGATGTGGGCGCAGAGAAGTTCAATCCTTTACGTGACAATTTGTCTGGAGGACTGCAAAGATCCCACAATAAAGATCGAACCAGAGAAAATATACTTCAAGGGAACGGGTGGCACAGAGAGAAAGGACCACGAGGTGACGATTAACTTGTACAAAGAGATTGATCCAGATAAGACTGTGCAGAATGCTAAAGGCAGACTCATCGAGCTGATACTTACGAAGAAGGAGGAGGGACCCTACTGGCCACGATTGGTCAAGGAGAATAAGAAGTATCACTGGTTGAAGAGCGACTTCAACAAGTGGAAGGATGAGGATGACACTGATAATGAGAGCGATGAGAACAACCCACGCGATCTGGAATCGGTAAATTATCGTGGGGATATCAATAATTAATTGTCCAAGAGAACTCCAACTTCTCAGCCGTTTACGGTCAATAAAACGATTTCACTAGGTTCTCAAATCAATAGAAAAAATAGAACATGAAAGAACTCACGTTTCTGCCAACGTTTCGGACACACAAGGTGTCCTCAGGGCAATAATTAATTCTCGTTAATTTATTAGTTGAATTAATTTTTTTTTTTTGAGAGAATTTCAAAGAAAGGTCTTTCTAAAATTTTTTACTAATTGTTTGCAATTTAACGATATTTATGAAACTTCAGTCAAAGGATGAAACGAGTCAATTCCGAAATCAATAATTAGTTTATTCAATTGATTAATAATTCGGTTATTCCAAGGGAAACGAGATGATTCCAGTTGAATTATGAAATTGTCTTTGTGGGTTTTTCGGAATTGAAGAGATATCTCAATTTTTAGGGAGGCTATTACTCTTTTTATTATTTATGAAATTACGAAGCGAAAGAAGAAAATTTAAAAATCAGTTTTTTAAGAATATCTTAAAATGAGATAGAGAAGGTTTTGGAATAACATTTTCTGGAGGAAATTTCAAGAGCTACAAAAGAGGTCCTCACAACCATTTCGGTACCTGATCTAGATTGGAAATATAAATAGAAATTTTCTGCGTCGGATAATAAAATTAATGAGTTTGAGAATTAGTTTTATCAGAATATTTCAGAATTGGAGAAAAATAGGAAAATTTTCATGAGAAACTTTTTTGTAGACAATTTAAGATATGAAAAAAAATAATTTGCAAAAATTTCGCAATTACCTAGATTCTAAAATATTTAACAAAAACTAAAAAAAATTCCAAAATTTCGAATAACTAATGCATCGATTTACTGAATTTCCAATGATCAGAATTTCACCTAACCGCCTCACAATAATCCCTAGGTCATGAAGAACATGGGCTACCTCGGAGGTGGTGGTGCTGGCGACGCAAGACCAAATTTCGACGACCTCGACGACATGGCTGATGAAGCAGACGCTGCAGACAGTGATGACGACGAGATGCCTGATCTCGAGTGAATGAGAAACCCCCCACAGACCAAATCGATAAATAAAATTAACAAAAAAAATCATAATGAAACGTTTTAAATCCTCTTAAAAACGTGTTCCAACCTTTTCAATAACAAAACAAAGAAAAAAATGAAGAAAAAAAATTGTGCACACCGTGAAATGCGTGATTCTTAAGTTAGGCCTCGATGAACATTTTAAAATAAAGTTAATGCCTGGGATATTAACGATATCACGAGGGTTTTCCGTAAAAAAATGTAACTGACAACCTAAGTGACATGTGCCAGCGGCCAGTCCGTTAGACAAATGATAACGACGTAACTTAAGATAATAAAACGAAGGAAAAAAAATGGACGAATAATTAATAGAATCGATGAAAATCCAATTCCCTGACCCACTCATCCCATTATCATTACATGTAGATTCATAATTAATTAAGATTTATTAAATTGTAATGAACAAGCTTTTTTAATGAATGTGTAAAATATTATGGAGGAATATCAAAATGGGAGGATTATTAATAGGAATGAGTTTGAGAGAACAATAATTGATGGACAATTCTTCGGAGTTTAATTGATGGATTTACAATTGTCAAGCTAATTAACCTACGATACTTGATGCTCCACGGAGGGCTAGGTAGCCAGCTGTTATGTCCATGGGGAGACTACGCACTGTTGAAAATTCCTCGGCTGTTGCGTAGTACAGTTTTGTCTGGGGATCTGTATATCGTGCCTGTAAAATATGGATTCAATAATTAAGGGGTGAAAGGTTCTGGTAGTTTTCCATTTGTCTCGGTAATTAAAGATTTCAAGGGAAAATTAATCAATTAAAGTTATTAATTATTGAAACAATTGCATATAACGAGGATAAAAAATTCATTGCTCTGTGACTTGTATTCAGTTCGAAACAGTTTTATTAATGAGGCAGTGATTTCGAGATTAAGTGAGTTTAGGGAAATATCAAGAACGTTTTATGTAGATTATTAAGTCGACAAAAATATATGTCTTGAAATTTTCCTTTAGAATCACTTCTGATTCGAATAATTGCATAATTCACAAGAATATGAAAAATAGGTTAAACAATTTACACTCGATTCAAAATAATTTTGTTAATTATCTAATTATTTTTAGATAGATTCGCTTAAAGACGAAACATTGAAAGATTGTTTCCACACATAATTAAATTTTCAACAAAAATGTGTTGACATTCTCTTAAACTCAGCAATCATTGAAACAATTGCTACTCAACAGGAATAAAATTTCAAAAAGATTGAAAAATCTTGATCAACCCCACAATTATCTCAATATAAAGTCTTTTTCGAAAAAAAAAAAACTGTCGAGACATTTTCTGCTTGAAATTCAATCAATAACTATCGACACAAACAGCTATCAATACAATTCACCCCTTCATTATCGAATAAAAATACAACAATTGTCACAAATGAATTGTCACAATCCCTCATCGAATGATTGAGTTGATGTACCATTCTTCCTCATTCTCCACCATTTTTATCATTGCGTAGTAATTAGCATCAGAATGATTAAACTGTCATAAGCAATCTTGTTATGTAAATTGTAGTGACTGAACTTACTGGTAATCCTGAGATGTCTGAGTATTTTTTGGCAGGTTTGAAGCTCGGTGGAGCGTTGATTGAACTGTCTGCAAATAAATAATGATATTGACGACTCTTTGTTGTTATTGGGGGTTCAGGGAAGTGATTGAGGGGTTTCTTACAGTGAACTGCCTCTGCTGGCCAGGGCAACGTTCGCTCTTGGGCTAGAACCTGTTTGAGAGACTTCCACGTTCGTTTCTTTCCTGACTGTGAGATGGGTCGGAAGGTCTGCTGGAATGTCGAGGATTTGAAGGGCGGAGGGGGCTTCTTTGGAGGGTCTGTTGACTCCTCGGTCACCATGGCTTTTTGTCTAGGTGTTGTTTGAGGAAAATTGATTTATTACGATATTTTCACGCATTTTTACGTCCTTTTCTTTTTTCATTTCTACCAATTCCATTGGTAGTGCGCAGTTCCGGATGGATCCGTACAAATTTTATTTTTTAATTGAGAAAAAAATTTTCTTGAAAAAATCTGATCTCCGAAACTTTTGAGCTTCTAAAATTGAGAATAAAATTTCTGTTTTATCCAGTGGGATAGGAATATCTAGAAAACATTTTAGAAATCTGAAAAAAGACTAGAAAATTTACGTTTGGAGGAAGATTGATGAAATCATTTGAAAAGTGCAATTTAAAAAAAATATGAGTATTTTCTATAAATAATTCATAAACAATATTTTTTCCACCGTAAAAATCATTTGTTCGGACTTGTAAAAAAATTAATCATATCAAGAATTCTACCAGGAATCGATTTCATGACTACACAAGACGAATATTTTGAAAAAAAAAATTGAAATAGGATGAACTATTTTTGAGATATTGAACAATATAGTTTTTTTTTATACAAAAAATTGAATATCTTTGAAACTATCTCAATTTTTTCAAGCGTTGTCGTGATCACATCAATTTTATCCCAAAAATGAAAAATGTCAATTACTGGGCGACTCGCAAGTTAGCTAGGCATATTATGGTCTGATTCGATAGATATTACCATAAGGAATATTTTGACGCCAAAAAAAGTTCATTTGATGCTGTGGTTTTCGAGATATTGAGAAAAGATTTTTTTTTTCGAAATTGCTGTATCTCAAAATTTATAAAATAATTCCCCGAATTTTGTACGCACGATGACGTACACACAGACATTCTCTAAAAACTTCATGTCTCGACGTTTCATGACATTCTGAGTCATTTCCAAGCGAAATTAGAGAATCGAAAAATCGAATTGATAAAGTTCTACCTCTTTCCTCCTTAACCATCAACATAACCTCCTGCAATCATTCGAAAAAAACCCTAACCTATCTCTAAAAACGTTCCCTCAACCTTAACAACAAATTCAACAAGATAAATTTCGATTAATTAACAGTACTCACCGTTTCAGCTCATTAAAACCCGAAAGAAATCCGTTTCGGAGCGAAACTGCACTCCAATTCCAATTGTTTACATTCACTCAATTGACTCCAGCGCATGCGCCCTGCACTGTCACTCCGATAGTTCGATATTATGAGTGAACACAAGACAATTTTCTCGCTCGACCTTCGGCAAAAAAAAAATCGTGCAATTTCCGGCGAGATTTCCGCAAAAATCCGGCGAATCGATGAGCTCCGGAGGAAATGAGATTTTATTTTCACTCGCGTAGTCCCAACAGATGTGCCGTGGATCAAAAAAAGGTGGGGAGGGTCTTGGAATCACCTTACAGTGCGCATGAAGGTCAAAGAATCAGGAGGGACCTAGTTCTATTCCAAGTGCAGCTGAAGCTCCCGTTAATACTCAAAAAAATATCAAACAGATAAAATAATTGTCAAGATGGTGAGGAAATTTTTCGTGGGTGGCAACTGGAAGATGAATGGAACGAAGAAGGAGATTGATGAAATTGTCGCATTCCTCAAAGCCGGCCCACTCGACCCCAATGTCGGTACGTGATGATTTTCACTGTGATGTAAAGTACATTTTCACTTTCGTCAAGGGCACCAGCATTTTCTCGTTTCATTAGAGACAATGCAGTTTATGTTGGAATTTATTTTTCATAATAATTGAAGAAACAAAAAGTTTTTGCATTAGATCGTGTGCAGTTCATAATTTTTTATATTGTTCTTATGTGGATTTTTAAGAATAATTGATTGACGGGATGGGAATGAAATTAAATAGTATTATATTTGTTTCTTTGAGAGAGCTCTGGAGTGAGGGTAGATAACCAGATTTTCCTGACTAAAATAACTTTTGCATTTTGATGGCATTTCAATTGAAGATAGTACTATGACATTAAAAAATAGAAGAGAATAGTGAATTAAGAATTAAAAAAGAGAACTCATTCGGAAGCAAATTGCTAATTTATGAGCAACAATAACTGTACTCATTTATAAAAAAATGCAATTGTCGACTTATTTCGGAAAAATTCAGAGGATATTAACCAAAAACTCATTTTGTAGTTGAATTAATTGAATTCTCCAATGAAAACTGATTGAACTTTGACTTCTGGAGTTGAGGATTATTTAATAGCTCTTAAAATTCCCCGAAGAAATGATAAAACTTGTGAAAATTCAACTGAATTTTTTGAGAGACAGCAGAAATGTTCACAAAAATTCAATTGTCTCCCTCGAATTTACTGATGCCATTTTTATTCAGTGGTGAATTTCTACGTTTAAACAGAATAATTATCATTCTCCCATCGTTTCTAATAAACAGAGGTTGTCGTTGGTGTTCCGGCGATCTACCTTCCCTACACAAAGAGCATCCTCCCACCGACAATAGCAACCAGCGCCCAGAACTGTTACAAAGTTCCCAAGGGGGCCTTCACCGGTGAAATCAGCCCAGCTATGCTGGTGGACAACCAGATCCCCTGGGTGATCATCGGACACTCCGAGAGGAGGAACGTCTTCGGGGAGAGTGATGAACTCACTGCTGAGAAGGTTGCACATGCTCTCGAAGCAGGTGTCAAGGTGAATAGCCACCCCAATGCCAAATTAAGAATATTTATCCAAAATCGCAAAACACTCTGAAATTTTTCGTTTTCTTTTCAACTAATCGACAGAGTTATCTCCTTCGTGTTTACGAAAATTCTAATCCACCAACTCAAGGTGATTGTTCGAAAATAAAATACATAATAGATAATGTTGTGAAACTGCGAAAGTTTTCAATAATTTCAACAGAAATCCACTAGAATCTTCTACCGACTTTGCTAGGCATTTCAATCAATTTTTATTGTTGTATTTCTTCACTCGAGAAAATCGTTAATCAATAGTTATATCGAATTTCTGCAGGTAATCGCATGTATCGGTGAGAAACTCGAGGAACGCGAGGCTGGAAAAACCGAGGAGGTGGTCTACCGTCAGACCAAGGCCATCGCCGACAAGATTAAGTCCTGGGACAATGTTGTCCTGGCTTACGAGCCAGTTTGGGCCATTGGAACGGGAAAAACTGCGACCCCTCAGCAGGCCCAGGAGGTTCACGACCAGTTGCGAGCCTGGTTCGCCAAGAACGTCAGCCCAGCAGTCTCCGAGTCCCTCAGGATCATCTACGGGGGGTCGGTGACAGCTGGAAATGCCAAGGACCTCGCCAAGGAGAAGGACATCGATGGCTTCCTGGTTGGAGGGGCTTCTCTCAAGCCCGACTTCGTGCAAATCGTCAATGCCAAGCAATAATTGAGGGGATTATTGAGCTCTGGTTCAATTTGACTTGAGTCCAGAGGGGAGAAGTCATCAGGACAATAGGACCATTCGAGATAACAATAATACTTGTAAAAATCAGTGGTGGAGTGGTAGAACGATTTTTTCAGTTTAGTTAATTGCGGGTTTATCTCGGTAACAACTGGACTTAGAGGAAAATTTGAGAGGACTTTTTTGATGGAAATCTTCTCAGCTACGAAAAAGGTTTATACGAGTTTTTCTCTAAAACCATTCGCTGTCGAGATAATTACGTAAATAACGAAAGTGTTTTGTGGATAAGATTCAACATCGAATTTTTGCTTTCTTAAATAGTCGATTATCTCGTTACCAAGTAGTTCTATGAAGAAATGTCAAAAGGGATTTTTCGTAGAGAATTTCAATAGCTACAAAAAAGGTCCTCAAATATTTTCTCCTAAATCCACTCATTCTCAAGATAATCCCACAATCAACAAAACAGTCGAATCTGACTCGTGAAAGAAATTCAATTACGCATAACTCGAGATCGGCAGAGTGAATTTCAACGAGTTTTGAGTCAATCCCAAGATATTTTCACAAGCTTGAAAATGAGCTTTGACTCATCCAAATCGCATCATCCAGTCGCTAGATATTTAAAAAAATCTAAAAACCAATTTTCACCACTTCCTCACTGAATTCGCATTCATCGTTTCCTGGACATGTTCACGTGAAGAAAAAGTCTATTCATTGTTGGCTGTTGATAATGTATATTCAAATGTCATTTAATTATGGACATTACACATTATGTGCTGACTCAATAAAACCTAATGCACAGATTGTATTTTTCGTATTTTTTTTCAACATTTTATTCAAATTTTATATCAATAACTGGTGGTCTTATTCCCTAAATGAAGTGATTACTTAAGCATTCCTCGGGTGATGACTCCTGGAGGAAGATCGGGGTTACTCATGCTGTTTAAACCGTCGAGTTTGGCCCTGGCCCAGGCAATTTTAGCCAGGGATTTGAAAGTGCGAGGCTCCCAGATTGCCAGATCCACCAGGACTTTCCTGTTCACCAATATCTCACTGCGAGCCAGACCCTCTTTCATCGTTCTGAAGTTTATTCCCTGCTCTTCACATGCTGCATCCAATCTCTTCTCCCATAACTAGAAATTAAATTGATTTTCAATAAAAATATTTTCCAATTGACAGAATCAACACGATTTACTGTTGAATATTACAAAAAGAAAATGTCTAATAGAAGTTGGAAATGAAAACAACTGGCTCGAAGAATTATTAAATGAAAAGTTATAGTGGTCACAATTTGACATGGAAATTCAGAAATAATTTACAAAAATGTAGGATATAATTCGATTACGGATAATTACATCGTGCAATTGCATTCGCTTGAGCTGTCTTCCTCTAGTGGAGAAGAGCATGGCGCGGTGGAACCTTCTAATTGCGATGGAGTAGCAGTTCCTTCCACGATTCCTGAAGTGCTGTCAACGGAATAATTATTATTTCACAATAATAATGAAGAGAGAGCAAATAAAAGTAAATATTCCTGACTCTTCCATCAAGATCTACAATTCTGAAACAAATGCAACAATTCAATGAACTATTGATATCCTAAAAATTGTTCAAATCCTCATTCGTTATTCATTAATAATAATTGATAATTCATTTACCATCTCGATAAAAAGACGTGATAAGAAGAAGACAGAAAAAATCATCATTCTGCAATAATAATTAGCAAATGCATTAGTTGAGTCTAGTCTAAAGTCATCGAAAAATAGAATAATTGCGCTTTTCATTAAAAAAAAAACAATTTGATTCAGAATTCTACGAATTATTGAAAGTGTTAGTTATAAATTATGATGAAAGAATCATATTGATGCATTGATAATTGTAATCTATTTTCAATAATCAATAATTCATACGAAAACTGCAGATCCTAAAAACAGTTCAAAGTGTCGATTCAACGAAATTGCAAATTATTGTGCGTCAACAACTGGAATTTTTTAAAAGTTATGTTCAATTTCGTTTTTGGCCGTGAACTCGAATTCAATGAATTATTGAAACTTTTAGTTATAAATTATGATGAATGAGTTATGCTGATGTATCGATAATTGTTATCTATTTTGAATAATCAAAACTTCATATAAAAACTGGAGAGGAGGAGGTAAAGAAGCCATAATGAAGATGTATCTACTTACAGCTGCAATCTTGAAGATTTTCCTCTTCCTCCAGAATTGATCAGGTCCTTTGCACCTCGAGAACAGTGTCAGCGATTGAAACACCATTATTAATCACTCAAATGCACTTTTCGACAGCTATATCTGCTCAATTTCACTCCTCTGCACTCTAATCTCCAATCACCACTCCGAAATGTCGAGCGTGTGAGAGGAATGTTAGGTTATGTTCAATTATATCACGTTTGCAATCCGGCGCACGTGATAAACACAGTAGAATCAATTATACTCTCGAACGGGTTGAGATGGGGCCTAAGAAGAAGTAAGTGATCACTCCATAATTAATCATCAATGCAATAAGCAATTAATTTCATCCAGCTGATGAACGATTGAGTCATTCTTTAAACAAATAAGGTGAAAGTTACGGTTATGTCCGTTTGTTTTGACTCCTCACTTAATTTTCAATATCAATAATTAGTTTAAAAGTCGATGATTAATTGGTAATTCAATTGTTTGATCGACAAACAATCAAACGACGAAAAGACCTTGAAGAATCAGAAATGAAAAATTATCTAAATAACAGAGACTTCAAAGACTGCGAATTAATTGGTAAACAAATTGTTTCAACTATTGATCAATTGGCAATAATTTTTTTCTTTCAAAAACTTTCCAAGACCTCAAATTAATCGATCAATAAATTTGGTAATTAGTTTTTAGGATGCAACTTGAAGAATAAAATTAAAGAATAAACTATAAAGAAATAATTTCACCTAGTGGATAAATCACTAAACAATTCTTCAAATATGAACGTGGAAAATATTGATATGCCCAATAGATCAATAAATTACATGATCTATTGATCATTTGACAATTCGGTTTTTAGGATGAAAAAGCCTGGAAAGAGTTCTAATTAATTGATAAATAAATTATCCGATCTATCAATTATCTGGGAATTAATTTTTCAGAATGAAAAAAGACTTTAAAGAGTTCGAAACCTTCGAGGAGGACGACATAACAAATAGCGAAGACGAGTATTCAGAGGGAGAGCTCGAGCTCCTGGAGAAAGTCCGGAAGAAGCGAGTGCAGGAGAATTTCGACAGTGACGACGAGGTCTTCGGTCTGCAGAACGACGAGGACCATGACTCCATGGAGTCGGACATCGAGCGACCCCAGGAGGACGACGGCATGCCCGACGAGAGGGCCTGGGGCAAGAAGAAGCGAACCTACTACATGACGGATTACGTCGATCAGGACTATGCTGGGACGAATGAGAAGGACATGGCGGAGGCCGAGCTGGAGGAGAAGGAGGCCAGGAACATCCAGCAGAGGCTCGCGCAGCAGCTGGATGACGCTGACTTCGGGCTCGATGGGATGCAGGCCCCTGAGGCTGAGGCTAATGCTGATGAGGACGAGGTTGTTAAAACTGATCTCAGTAAATTGAGTAGAAGGGAGAAACTGGCACTTGTCAAGAAGGAGAGCCCCGAGTTCGAGGCATTGGTCGATGATTTTAAAGGTGAATATTTTGGATTTTTAATTATGGACTCATTAATGAGATAATCCGATGATTAAAGTTTGATCACATAACATTTTTCATTGAACATGACTAGAAATTATCTCGATCATTGATTATTCTGGAAAGTTAATACTTTAAAAGTTATTCTTTTCAGAAAAATGATTATTATTCTGAAAAAAAAAAAAATACTATTATTATTGTGAAAAAAATGGCGAATTTTTGGAGAATTCTACTTTCTCTAGAAAGGTTTAAATTCATTCATAAAAAACTCACGTTCAAATGCAGTCGATTCATCCAGTTTCATCATTTCAAAATTATTCCAGACGCATTTAGGAGGAAAATCTTGGAAGATACTTTTGTAGTTCAGGAAATGCTTTTTGATATTTTCCCCTAAACTCTCTAATTCCAGAGAAAGCTGAGCATTTTTACTATTTCATCCCAAAAGAGATTCTCAAAGAAATCTCATATCTCCTACAGAAATACTCATCAATAATTCTTCAGGTTACCACTGATTTCCTCAATCACGTAGAAGTTAACTCGCATAAAAATTCAGAAATAAAAATAATATGAATAAAACTAATGAAACCACTAGAAACGCAATCATAAAAACACACATTGGGGTTAACTAGTCAATTTGTTTATATTCATTTGACAATCACCCGAAGACCACAATTTTAATTTTATTTTTGTTTGTTTTCCCATTCGATTGCATTCTCACATTTTCGATTTTTTAAACATTTGTAGAAGGCATAAACGATGCCACAGATATTCATCACCCCAAATTTACCTCAAATATAACATTATCTCTCTGATGAGTGATTTCATTTAAAAAATATTAAAAGACCTGTCTCAAATAATTTTCTCGTCTACATACCAATATCGTCTAAAATACCAATAATATCAATAAACCAGATTCCAATAAATATTAATAAAACTCATTAAAATTTTCCTTCTCCTTATTTTCGCATTTTCCTACATTACTGACATTTTCTTCGTTTCAAATATTTGTAGAACGCATGAACGAAGCGAAGGACATTCTCTCCCCATTTTTGGAACTGGCAGAGGAAGAAAAACTCCCTGACTGCCCCGCAATCAACTTCCTAAGAACGAAATATCAACTGATTCTGAATTACTGCGTGAATATTAACTTCTACCTCATGCTGAAGGCGAAGAAGATTCCGATCGTGGATCATCCAGTCATCAAACGACTGGCGCAGTACCGACAGCTGATGGCCCAGCTGGAGGAGGGCCAGGGGAAGCTACTGGAGGAGGCTTCAGAGGTCCTCGAGGCCAAACGCAAGGGCCAAGTCCTCTACAATGTCTTTGATAATTCTGAGATAGTCCAGAAGAAGCCTGAGAAATCTAAAGAAAAACGCAGAGTCTCGAGTTCTGAGGACATTGAGGGCGAGGAGGGAGATCTGGAGGCCGATGAAGAGGATGAAGCGGTGGAAGACGAGGAGGAAGGCCTGCAAGATGACGAGGCTCCTCAAGAAGCTGCGGATGCAACTGGTCTGGACGACGAAAAACGACCCATTAACTATCAAATTGCGAAGAACAAGGGGCTGACGCCTCACAGGAAGAAGGAGCAGAGGAATCCCAGGGTTAAACATAGGAATAAGTACCGCAAGGCGAAGATACGAAGAAAGGGAGCGGTGAGTATTTTTTTTTCTGCGTTTGTGGAATGTTTATTGGTGGATTGTTTTGGTGGTGAGTGGGTTTAGGCAGAAATACTTGATTTGTTTCTAAAAACATTCACTGTGGGGATAATTTCATAGGCCACAATTTCAGAATTTTGGTAATTGAGGATATCCAAGCTATTTTTTTTCCAGTGAAATGCTTTTCTACTTTTGTAGTCGAACGTCAGAACTTTCATTTGAGCTCCATTCGACCCTAAGTTTCTGAATATTTTACGATGTTTTTATTATTTAAACTTTGCAGGTCTGAATTTGAATCGCGATATTGAATCGTTAGAAAATATTTTACAGGAAAGTTGATGGAATAGTTTAAGAATTGCAATTTCGGAAAATTACGAGCATTTTCTGTAAATAATTTATAAAAAATCAATTTTCAAACAAATAATGTTAGAAAAAACAATAATTATGTGCAAAATGTAATTTTAATGACACTGAATATTCACGATTTTTTTTCAAATTTTTCTCACGCCATTTAATTGATAAATTTGGTGATTCAAAAAGCTTCAATGTAGTGAAAATTGCAGGGCATTCCCCCTAACATGCTATTTTTTCATTCTCTAAATTTTAATAATCTGAATTTTAATTCTGAATTTTGTAATTTTATCGATGAAGTTGATTTTTTAATTATTTGAAAGGAAGTTATTTCATAATGAAGTGTCTCTTGACCTTTCCTTTTAAAACCTCTCATTATGAAGATAAATCCACAGTTGGAATAATGCACAATTAAAATCATATAAAGACTTTTTTTCAAAACATTTTTTTTGTTCAAATTTTCTTCATTCATATTAAATAATAATTTTGTTACTCTGTTCACAGGTGAGAGAAGTCCGGAAGGAACTGACTCGTTACGCTGGGGAAATGTCGGGTATCAAGGCGAGCGTTAAGAAGAGCATAAAAATAAAATAAACATGAACGTATCTGTATTTTTATTTCATAAAATAAATCAATTGAAGTGGAATTGTCAATGAATGTATCGTCGATTCATTACGGATTAACCTTTTTATTATTTAGAAATATGTATGAAACAATGGAATCTATTCTAAAATCTAACGGACTTAGAAACGAAGAACATAATGTGGCTTTTTATCATTTTTTGAATTCAATTAACCCTCGTCATTTTTTTGTGATCTCAAAAGCATTGAGAAACTGGCAATTTCTGGGGTTCAATAAATTTTTCATTAATTAAGAGTTAAATTGTGTTCGGTTTTCGTAATTGAAATGTCATCCTATCATTAGATTAGGGGGAGTTAGCCCTCGAGCTTTGCGAGAATGTCGGATTCACGGAAGAGATGGAATTCCTTCTCGTCCTCGAGGTTGACCTTGGTGCCACCGTACTCGGGGAGGAGGACAGTGTCTCCAACTTTTACAGTGAGGGGCACGTGTTGTCCACTCTGAAAAATAATTGACCAAAATAATGAATTGAATAATTATTTCATTAGGTAATTTTATTCAATTATTCAATTTAATTAAATACTTGTTGTCTCTGATAATTTCTCAATTTGATAACTAAATAATTCTACTCAATTGAATAATTAATTGAGTAATAATTGAATCTTGAGTAAAAAAATGAATTCTCTGATTCTACTTCTCCAGTTTACCCAATTAATTAACGAAGAACCAATAAAAAAATTAATATGTTCATAGCTCTGAGAAAAAACGATCAATTGAGTTCAAATGAGGTTCATCCCAAAGGAAAAAGGTTGTACTTTCTAACGAAAAAGCCCATTTCATCAGTAATTTAATGAATTATCAAGATTTTTAAAAAAGTCTCAAGTGCTCATTTTGCCCCACTCGCCCCTATCTCTCTCTGATCTTCAGATATTCCCTCCAAACTCTTCAGACGTTCTCCAGAAAACAATGTCTGTGATAATTCCCTAGAAATAATTAGTTCCAACATGTTTCCGTCGGTTTAACCCACGATATCAATCAAGTTCATAATTAATTAATGAAGACCAGTAAAAAATAAATAAATGAAGCTACTAACCTCGTTTCTGGAGCCAGGTCCAACGGCCACGACTGTTCCCCTCAGTACTTTGGCCTGAGCCTTCTCAGGAATGATAATTCCCCCTTTAGTTTTACTAATAGCCTCAGCCCTCTGAATCAACACCCTATCCAACAGTGGGATAACCCTTTTAGCGACTGCGGCTGCCTGAAATCACCCACATGAGCGTGCATAACCCCTCGATTGAATGAAAAACCTCTCCAAATACATTAGAAACTACAGCAATCATATGGCCTCTGAGGTAATTAATTTAATTAGCCATTCATTCCCATTCGAGTGAAATTCCAATCATTTCCGAATTTTTTCTTCATCTCAAAAAAATTTAATTTCATTTTTTCATCTCGTGAGGCCATAAAATCACGCATTTTCATCGCACGAGTGATGAAGAGACTTTTCTTTAATTGCGAAAATTCCACTTACCATCTCTGTTAATTAATTAATGGATGATTTATCAGTAAAATGATAGAGTATCGACCGGCGACTCGGCGAGCACGTTGCCTGAAGTAACCTAACTGTTGGCTGCTGGGTCTTCTCGAAACTTCCAGTCCCACTCCCCCATTCGTCAACCCTCCCCTATCGCCCCACGTGACCATTGATTTCACCCAGTCAACGAGATGAATTACGTAACGCGCTGGGATTCAAAATCCACTCGGTGGTGGCGCTTGTTCACGGAATGATGAAATTTCGGGGAGAAAAAACGACGAGTGCTCCACTTGCACATTGATCATCGCCTCCAGGGGAGCGATTTTGCTCCTTTTATGTCGACATAAAATCATAAATTTCAACCAATCCTAGTTGAGTATTCCAAATCCAGGACTGTCATTGGCTGAAATTGACGATTTTATGTCGACATAAAACGAGCAAAATCGCTCCCCAGATGTGAGGACAAATGCAAGATGAAAAAAAATTTACGGGAAAAATAAAATGTAGATTTTTGTCGGTCATCCACGTGGAAAAACTCATTTTTCAATTAATTTTCGTGGATCGCAATATTTTTTATGCTACATGTTGTAATAAATGAAAATGTTATGAAAATATTTTTTAATAATGGAAAAATGACATGAAGACATCTCTGAAGAAAACAATCATGACTTTTGAAAGAAAAAATTGGAGAAATTTTTGGAAAATTGAGACTAATTCTGGCGGATTGAGAAAAGTATAGGGGAGGGCGGAGTAAAATGGAAACTTTTGATTTTTTTAAAATGTTAATAACTTATTGAATTGTTGTTGAAATGGAATCACTTATTTTTGATAGATGAAAGGTACAATTCTTGCTATTTGTAAACCAAGACGGAGATCAGTTGATAAAGCTGTTTCCGCGTTATTAAATTTTTTTTAAAGTCAAATGTGTCCATTTTACCCCCCCCCCCCCCATGTTGTTTAACATATTTATCAGGAGTTCTGCACATCCATCATCTCCTCCAACAAACATCAACGAATCAAACGTGAGAACAAATGCAAGATGAAAAAAAAATTGAAAGAAAAAACAAAATCTCCAGATTTTTATGGCACATCACACGAGCCATTCCATTAAGAAATTAATTATTTTTGTTGAACAACAACATTTTTTCTGCTCCAAATCACAATAAATGAACACATGTCATAGAATGATCTTTAAAAAATGGAAACATGACATGAAAATATTCTTGCAAAAACAATCATGATTTTTTAAATGAAAAATTGTAGAATTTTTTGTAACATTGAGAGTAACATTGGCTTGTTCAAAAGACTTATATAGTGCGCAAGTCTTAGTCAAAAGGTCTAAGAAAAATTTCGTTTCACAAATCAGTTCTCCTGCCCATGAATAATTCAACCGATTGATAGAATAAATCGTGGAAACATTGAACCCACCGATAAGTAACTATTTTCTTCGTCTTATCACCACCGTGTTATCACACCCAAGTATGCAACAGCAATATCCCGTCCCCACCCCAACAAACTCCTAAAAATCCCCCAAAAACCAATCAAATTTAAAAAAATGTTATTTGGAATTTCAACTAGTATATCTCATCCCTAAAAAAATCCCAGTTTCCAATATTCCAATTCTCCTCAGAAAATTCATCTGCGAAAGCCAATAAATAATGAGAAATTCGAAAGAATTCAGGAAGTTTCTAAAAAATTCATGGGAATTCGAGGGAATGCAAGAAGCTTCTAGAGAATTTAAGAGAATGACAGGAGAGTTTCTGGAAATTTCTATTTCTTCAATTCATGCTTCTGTTATAGAAATCCTTGACAACGAGTCATTAAATAAATTTTATGAAAATTGTGAAGCTAGCGATTTTTATTTTTATTGCCCGTGTAAACCCCCAAAGACTGAATTAAAAAATAATTTTCAATGCAAAACCAGGACGCAGAAAAAGCCGTTGCACGGGCAACGCCGTGCACACCTCTAGTAAATAATATAAAATAACGAAATATTTTACTGAGTATAATACTCATCATCCTCAGCAAAAAAAAACTCTCCCGTCGATTTCATTTCTGAATTCTCGTCTAAAAGCGACGATGATTGGTCGCCAGGCGGCGATTGCGTCATGCGGTGATATCGTAGGTTCTAGAAGCACATGGTGGCGTCGGAAAAAAAAACCCACCCATCAAACTCCCCAAGGAACCCCCACACCCTCAATTAAAAATGATAAATCATGATCACTGGATCGTCATCGATCGCCCACCGGCGGTTGTTACCCGGAAAATCGATGAGATTTCTCCGATTTTTCTGGAGAAAAATCCGGGGTTAGGCTGGGTCAATCTGCGAGTACGTCAGGGGGGTGGGGGGAGGGGAGGGAGAGAGCCCATGTGATAATGCTCCGCACTTCTCTCCGTTCATTCTACTCGGCGTAGACAACGTGCGGGCACGCTGCTTCCATCACTTTAATTTCACTGGAAAATTTGGACTTTTGGGGATTCCGATCGAGCGATTGATTGAAGGTAATTAAACGGTTTTAGTTTATAATTTTTTTTGGGAATATGATTGGTATTGGGGGGTTTAGGGGTGACTGAATGAATGACCGTGGGATGTGGAGTCATGGGCGCCGGGCCGGCGGCAGATCTGTTTTTTTTTCTATTTTGGAAATTTGGAGGGATTTTCCGCGTTTTGAGGTCTTTTAATCGGAATTTTTGAGATTTTTTTTTTCGTTGGGGGGATCGGGGGCTGGGGATGGGGATGCGTGGGATTCTACTGTTTCGTGGGGGCTTGGTCCACGCGGTGGTTTACATAACCACATTTTTACGGAGCGGATGGAATTGCCGATGGGTTTTCAATTGATTTTTGGGGGCGATGAGGGGTTTTGATTTTTTTTTTTTATTGTTTAATGGGCGGTTTTGGGGGGGAGACTGGCGCGGGTTGGGAGGGGTTTCTTGGGGGAGTTTTGCCAGGGGGCAAAGGTTTCTTTATAATTATTTATGATTTATTTATTTATTTTACTTGGGGAATTTCAATTGATTTTTGAGTTTGATGAATGGGCTCTGAATTATTTCCTCATTGAACCGTTACTTTTGGGGCTGCGATTTTAGGGGAGAACTTCAGGAGACGTTTTTTGTAGACAATTTCCTTGAGTACAAAAAGTCTCAAAATGATTCCGTTCCGTTATTTAAATTCTCAACTAATTGTTATCCTTTGGATTGAGATATCGGAGTAATTTTCATAATCGACAACACAAAAATTCATAAAGATGAAGTAAAAAATTTAAGACGTTCGCTACAGTTCGCTCAGAGATATTTTCTTCCCAACATAAGCAGATAATGAAGGAATTTCAATGTTTACTTCGATAGTTTTTTCGACCGTACCTTTTATTCAAATAAATAATAAATTCTTTGGCTTATCGGTCAGTTTAAAAAGAAAACTGACCGATAAGCCAAATTTTTTTTTATTTATTTGTTTACTTCAATGTTTGTCCCTCAATTTTTGCCCTTGGTATCGAGATCACGAGTTATTTTCATTCATAAACCCAATCATTCCCAGATGTACAGACTACCAACAATGATGCGAAGTGTGGCTTCACGCCAGCTGCAGTACCAAGCGAGGATGTACGCCAAGGACGTGCGTTTCGGTCCCGAGGTGCGTGCACTCATGCTCCAGGGCGTCGACATTCTCGCTGACGCAGTGGCTGTCACCATGGGTCCAAAGGGACGCAACGTCATTCTAGAACAGAGCTGGGGCAGTCCGAAGATCACGAAGGACGGAGTCACAGTCGCCAAGGGAATCGAACTCAAGGACAAGTTCCAGAATATTGGAGCTAAACTAGTACAGGATGTGGCCAATAACACCAATGAGGAGGCTGGTGATGGCACCACAACTGCCACTGTCTTGGCCAGAGCCATTGCCAAGGAGGGATTCGAGAAAATCAGCAAAGGGGCTAATCCAGTTGAAATTCGTAGAGGTAAAATCACGATGTCGAAACGGCTTTTTCAATTGTAGGATTTATGACCGTCTGAGAATATTTAAAGGATGAGAGGCTTTTAAAGATTAAAAAAAAGTTTTTTTTGTGGAGAATTTGAAGAGCTGAGTATTTTTAAAAAATGTTGAGAAAATCTCAAGTTTTTTTAGATATTTTCTAAATAATTAACAATTTCACTTCATTGAGGAGTTTTTTTTTTAGAATAAACAGTGCAGTTTATTCTAGAAATAATGCAAAATGCACACGAGGATTTTTTAAAATGTTTGATCATTTTTTTCGATTTTATCCGATAATTTCCCCTTGTAAAATCGCCAGTCAACCCTTTCCCAACGATGGATTTTTTCATATAATATTTTTTGTTGAATTTTTCAATCGAAATGCTTCTCTACTATTTTTATTATTCATAAGAAATTTAATTTTTCTATAAAAAATACCTTTCCATGAATTTTCTCTATTGATTCTTAAGATATTTAAAAAATACTCAACACATTCAATAATTGAAAACATTACCAATGAAAAAAATTAAGACAATTTTAAGAAATACGTATTTTCAAGGGATATACCTTAAAATCGTCAATCAATTCAATAGCGAAGTGGTAAAACCGTACAAGTCAATTTTGACTATTGACCAGTTTTCAATGAATATCTCGGAATCTAAGAGAGATAGTAAAATTGTTGTTATAACCTTTTTTGTAGAGCCGATTGAGCGCTACAACAAATGTAATTACAAAAATTTCGCTATCTCCCTTAGATTCGGAAATATTCCTCAAAAACTCAACTGGGAGATGAGTCGACTTGAACCGTTTTACCATTTCGCTCTGAATTTTGTCTGTAATGCCATCGTCCTTGAGATATTTCTCAAATACTCAACAAATTCAATAATTTCCTCTCAATTTGACAACTTCCCCTCTTAAAAACGTGGATCGGTCGATCCACGAAAAAAAAAAATTGAAGAAATAATCCCACCATCACTCAAATTCCCCAGGTGTCATGATGGCAGTAGACAAGATCAAAGAGGAACTGAAGAACCTCTCGAAACCGGTGACGACCCCCGAAGAGATCGCCCAGGTCGCCACGATCTCCGCAAACGGAGACACAGCGATCGGCGCCCTAATCTCCTCCGCCATGAAGCGAGTGGGAAAAGACGGCGTGATAACCGTGAAGGACGGAAAGACCCTGCACGACGAGCTCGAAGTGATCGAGGGCATGAAGTTCGACCGCGGCTACATCTCCCCCTACTTCATCAACTCGACGAAAGGTGCCAAAGTGGAATTCCAGGACGCACTAGTCCTCTTCAGCGAGAAGAAGATCTCCTCGATTCAGAGCATCGTTCCAGCACTTGAGCTCGCCAACTCCATGAGAAAGCCCCTGGTCATCGTCGCCGAGGACATTGATGGGGAAGCCCTGACGACCTTGGTCTTCAACAGACTGAAGATTGGCCTGCAGATCGCAGCTGTCAAAGCTCCGGGCTTTGGGGATAACAGGAAGGCGACTCTTCAAGACATGGCCATTGCCACTGGGGGAATTGTCTTCGGGGACGAGGCCAATCTGGTTAAGATTGAGGACGTGACTGCCAGTGATCTCGGACAGGTGAGTTGGAAGATGGAATTTCTAACAATAATTTTGACCAATTGAAATGAAAAAAGTTTGGTTAATAATAATAATGATTTTTCAACACCTTTTTATAATTCCAATTAAAAACACCTTCCGAGCCCCAATTTTTCAATTCAGCACTCGAAATATTGGCAATTAAATTAAAAAAAAAATTTTTAATATTAGTTATTACTTTTTATGACCGCAAAATTGGCCCTTGGGAGCTGTTTTCAATTTGATTGGTTAATTTTTAATGGAGAATCGTGGGGAGTCGACTTAGCTCTTAGCTGACTTCGCGAAGAATATCTCTGAATCTGCGGGAGATAGCGAAATTTTTGTAATGACCTTTTTCATAGCTCTCAATGCGCTCCCCAAAAAAGGTAATGACAAAAATTTTTCCATCTGCCTCAGATTCCAAGATATTCATTGAAAACTGATCAACAGTCGAAATCGACTTATCACTCTTCTCCACTCCCAACATCATGAAGCTCTTCTCCATCTGATCCCCCAGGTCGGCGAGATAGTGATAACGAAAGAAGACACCCTCCTCCTGAAAGGCAAAGGCAACAAGCAGGACATCGACCAGCGAGCTGACCAGCTGCGCGACCAGATCGAGAACACCACCTCGGACTACGAGAAGGAGAAGCTCCAAGAGCGCCTGGCAAGACTATCAGCAGGAGTGGCAGTGCTGCGAGTTGGTGGTAGCAGCGAAGTCGAGGTGAACGAGAAGAAGGATCGAGTCCACGACGCCCTGAACGCCACGAGGGCAGCTGTTGAGGAGGGAATAGTCCCTGGAGGAGGCACTGCCCTCCTCAGGTGCACCCCAGCCCTGAAGAGCCTGAAGCCAGGGAACAGTGATCAAGCCACTGGCATTCAGATTGTCGAGAATGCCCTTCGCATGCCCTGCCAGCAGATCGCAGCTAATGCTGGGGTTGACGCCAGTATGGTTGTGGCTAGAGTCACTGATGGAAAATTGGGGTACGACGCCATGAACAACGAGTACGTCGACATGATCGAGGCAGGCATCATCGATCCCACGAAAGTCGTGAGGACTGCTCTCACTGATGCTGCTGGGGTTGCTTCACTGCTGACAACTGCTGAGGCTGTCATCACTGAAATTCCCAAGGAGGATCCACCTGCCATGGGCGGCATGGGTGGCATGGGAGGAATGGGCGGTATGGGAGGCATGGGCGGCATGGGAATGTAGAGGGCACAAGGTTAAGACTGAAGAACTGATTGTTTCACACTGTTTATCGAATCGCCAATTATTACGTGGAACGAGTATCTCTGGGAGTAGTGGGTTTGGAAGAAATTTGGGGGGATCTTGCCAGATAATGTCTCTTGATGCTTTTCGGTGGATTCAGCGGTTTAGGGGAGATTACGAGATTTAACAGCACTTTTTTTGGTTTCTTAGGTCGAAGGAAAAGTTTAATTGGATTGAATAAAGCGATATCTCGGGAACTAGTGGGTTTGGGAAGAGAATGGTGAGGAAGTTTTTGTGCAGAATTTCGAGAGCTACGGAAAAGGTATTATGACTTTTTGCGATAGAACCAGGAGTTTTAGAGATATTGCCAATTTTTTCAGAGGATTCTTTTCATGAGGCTTGAATTATCGTTGAAACAAATGGATTTAGAGGACAATACCGAGAGACATCTTTCGTAGAAAATTTCGTAATTTACGAGAAAAATATTTCTTCGGAAAATCCAGTAGTTTTGGAGATATTCTAACATTTCTCAGAGCATTCTTTCTTCTCCAGGGAGAAATTCATTGTTTTTCCTTCAATAAAACTCGAGATATCTCGTAAACTAGACGATTTGGAAGAAAATGTCATGAGATATTTTTTTAGCCCATTAAATTCCCCAGAAAAAATCCCTTCTGACATTTTTCTCTAAACCCCCTAGTGCTGGAGATATTGAGCATTTTTTTAAAGCGAAACAAAAATGAACTTTCTTTCAGACCTGATAATTCTTAATGTTTTTTTTTCTTTCTGAGGAATTGTTTAATGGGCTGATTCGATGGTTAGGGACCTTGGAGACATGTCTCCAAAAACGACACAGACATTCGACAAGTATCTTACATTAAGATTGACGATTTTTCCATCACTAAAAACCTTGTGCTCTAGGTGGTTGGGAAGGCATTTATCGGGAATTTATGGCTGCCATCATTGCCACTGTCATGTTGGCACTTGGTGTTACGTAACACTAATGAGGATAGAGTTCACTGAATTTAATGAGTTTAGATTTTCTGGGAGAGTAGAGTAGTGAATTGGTGAAACGAGATGAAAAACTGACCCAATGATTTTTTAATGTTTCAAAATCTGAGGGGATGGGAAAATTTTCGTGGGAATTTTTCTAGGAGAGGGGATTGAAAGCTACAGAAAAGTCATCACGAAACTTTTTGTGTCACCTCTAGATCCACCAAAAAAGTTTCACCAGTTCACTGAGGATTTATTTTCCATTGGATACTAATTTTTCCTCAGTTCTGACTAAAATTGCGAATTGTTCCAAATGCTGCATTGCGCAAATACCCTGTGCATTTAAAAAAATGAACAAAATACCTGTTATCTGAGTGTTCCTGTTGAAGGATGGAAGTGTAAAAATATCTTAAAATACCGATTTATCCATAGTACATGTTTTTTTAACAGTTAATTCTTTATTTTTCACTATTAGTCTAAATAAAAAATGTCGAAAATACATACAATTGTCCATTCAATCAATTTATTTCCTAAATTTTGAAATCATCCTCGTTTCACATCTGCACTGTTCAGGGATGTCAAGTTGATTGGGTCTGATGGTTTGGTAAGAGAATTCAGTGGTGAAGTGGTGAGAACATCCAAAAAAATACCACGTGTTTTTAATATTGCATTATTTCGATATCAGATGGCTGAAGGCAGACGTTGGGGACTATTTTTTTATGTAACGAATCAATTTATCGTTACGATTTTTTAATTATATCGATAATGAGTGTTTTTAGGCAAATTTTGGAAGACATTTTTTGTAAAGAATTTCCTCAGCTACAAAAATGGTTTTTCAATTTCTAAAGTCTGTTGATTTAAATCTTCATTGAATTATTTTATGAGAATTTAAATCCAGTTGTGAATTCAATATATCTTCTTCATTGTAGAATTATCTCGATAATGAGTGCATTTAAAAGAGAATGTCAATGGGCCCTTGTGTAGAATAATTCATCAGCTAGAAAAAACAAATCTCCTCATTTCCTCCTCAAATTACTCATTTCGAAGATGAATCCGCAATCAAGAAAAAACAAAAATCCGATCTGTCACGACTCCATGAAAAACACAATTTCCTAATGCTGAGTTATTTCGATGTCATTTTTTTTCTTGTAAAGGACTTAAGCTATAAAACATCTTCATATTCATTTAAAAAATTCTCACATCAGAGATAAATGTAGAATAGCAAAAAATGTCAAACCCGAACTTTCAAGAAAGATGTCTGAATTAGATTCAAAAAAAGAGCTTCAAAGTTGTTTTTTTTTCAGAGTTTCTTCAGCTCTCAAAAATCCCTCCACCCTCTTCTCTAAGATAAATGCCCAACCAAAAAGACCCAAAATCTTCCTACATCAATGATTCCCGTGTCACCTTTCTAAAAATAATATCAATATCAACAAAAAGAAAACCTTTCTCAACCAAACATTGACATCCCCTGAATGTCCATCTCATTCCACCACTTCTCCCTGAAGTCCCTCACCAAAAGTTCCCAGAGAGTTGTCCATCAGGTGGAGGTATCGAGTCCTTAGCAATAACATCAGTCACAAAACGCTTCAACAGTGTAATAGCAACATGCTGCTGTTTCAAGACGTCAACAGGTGCATTGGCATCGTCCGCACGTTGCGCCAGCAACGAGCAATAGTCCTCAGCGACAACCCTAAGCAGCTTCCTGAACTGTGTTGGATACCACTGCAGCATGGCATGTCCAGTGGACTCCAAGAAGACCTTGATGAGCCTGGGGTAGATTTCAATGGCGTCCTGACGTGGCTGAGCATTCAAAATAGTAGCCAACCACCTCCAGGCATTCGCCAATCCATGAGGATGCCTCGGAATGCTGCCTTTCGGCAGTTTCGTTATAATAATAGCAGCATAGAACCTCATGAATTTTTCCATCCTCTTCAGAAACGCCTCCTCGTGCTCTCTGACTCCATTCGAGTATGTGTAACCTCGACTACTGTAAAAATTCTCGTCACTCTGTCCCTGAAAACGAGGCATCACCACTGGGATAATGTAGGGACAGTGAATGTGGAGATACGAGAGAACTAGATCCCCAAAGTCTGGGTATTGAGACCACAGAGATACCACCACTGCTGCCAGTGCGTAGATTCTCCCGAATTTCTGCTCCGCAAAGTCTTTAACTTCATCCTGAAAAGTTATCATCGATAATGTAACATTTTTCAACATGAATGATGATTAAATATTGAGAAAAAACTGAAACTTGAGGGCAATCGAGCATTGCTGAATAAAAACAAGGGGCAATTGCATTTCTTATGAATGATGAGTATAGTTATTGTTGCTAATAAATTAGCTATTCTCTTCTTCGATTTTTTCATGTCGTAGTACTGTCATCAATTGAAATGTTATAGAAATTTTGCGTATTATTTCGTTCTGTCAAATAATTCTACATTCAGACCCTCTCAAGACTCGAATTCATTTTCAGTCCGGGTTTAATCAAGATTCAATCAAGATTGTTTCAGTAATTACGAAAAATCCGATTTTCTCTTTGAAATTGGAAAAGTAACAATTTTTTTAAATCTCTATGAAGAATTGAATTTTAATTAGCGTCAATGAATAGACCTTAGTAAAGCCTGTATTCATAAAAAAAACTCACAAAACTCGATTGATCCTTTTAAAAAAATGAAAAGACATTTAATAACCCTAACCCAAAGACCAGAAAATTTCAATCTCAATAAAAACCAGTGAATCCTCACCACAATGGTCTCAGCCACGCAATTCTTCACAAACGCCAGCTCGGCAGGTCCCTTCCCTTCGAAGTTCCTCCCAAACTTCCTAACAATCTCCTTCAAAGAAGAAAAATTTTGGGATATGCCCTTGACAAGAATATTGAGCTTCTTCTCGCAGTCCATCCTGTACCTCCTGTCGGGATCGACCTCCTCGAGCTGCCTGAAGGCCCCCCTGTACCTCTCCAGGTAGCTCTTGGAGTTCAAATACACCTGTATCCCCTTCACAGCGACGCTCTCCTCCAAGCCCCTGGGATTCCCCTCGGGCGCTCGTGGCGCCTCCACCGGTTCATTATTGGAACTCCCCTCGGTACTCTTCTCCAATTGTCTCCCATCCACCCCATCAGGCGCTGCACGAGGTACTCCATCAGGCGCCCCATGACCCCCACTAGCCGTATTTTGTGCCAGCATCTCCTGCTCCCTCCTCAAGCATTCATCGTTGATCCTGGTGACCTCAGCCCTGCAAGCCGTGAAAATCTCCTCCGCCTCACGCAGCACACTCTCCACATCATTCACCTCGTTTCTCGTCAATCCCCCAGTCTTTCCCCCCTCGATGATGCCATCAATCCTCGTGCTGAACTCCTTCAACTTGCTCGTGAAAGGCCCCACCACCTGCCCAATGAGATTCTTATTCTTGATGAGTGATGTTGCCAGTCGACCAATTTCCGTGTAGCTCTCAGTGAATTTTCCTCGGCAGGAGACTATCTTCTCCAGGCACTCCTCGTGTTCCTTGAGTCTCCTGTGCTCATCGGTCTCCCTCTTGAGCTTCTCCTGCCTCTCCTGGAGCCGCTGCGCCTGCAGCTGTGCCTCGTGGCGACGTTTGAGCTCGTCTTGCTGGGCAAAACGCCTCTCTTCTGCCTCTTGCTTCGCCTTCTCAGCCGCCATTTCGCGTTCTCTCTTGGCCGCCAGCTCCACCAGCATGACCTCCTTCTCCCGCTGGAGCCTCTCCTGGAAGGCCTCCATGTCCTTCTTTCGTCTGTTCACTGCCTTGAGGACCTCCTCGCGGCGCTGGAGCTCATTCTCGTAGAGGATTTTCTCGATTGAGAAGGTGGAGGGCTTTGGTTTTGCGCCTGGGGACTTTGAGGGCCTCGGGGGACTGATGTTCGCGGAGTTCTGATTGTTCTCGGAGGGGTTCTCCTGGGGGGAACTGCGCGGAGGGGACGAGTTGGGGCCCAGGGTGGTCCCGTCTACTGAGGGGGAGATTGACACGGCCTTCAGGAGGACTGACAGACGGAACTTGTCGAACGCCACGGGAACGTCCTCCATTTTTTCTGGGGAACAAGCGAATGCTCTTCATTTGAGGGTGATTTATTTTATGATAGAGCTATTTTTTGGAAAGCTGCGCGGGATTTAAAAGAGGTGACGATTTTCATAGAGAGATCTTTCTTTTTGATTTTGATTCGCTCTATAAAATAGGTCCTAAGGTATTTTTTTCATCCTCTTTCGACTGACAACTGTTTATCGAACGCGAAGAGTAATATTGTAATGATTGTCTCATGACTAGACACGGAAAAAATATCCTGAAACTGTTTCCAAGGGGAAAATTTCCGTAGAAAAAATGTAAAATTTAATTTCACATTATTTGTCTCATTATGAGAGACGAGGAAAAATTTTCATAGGAAAAATGACAAATTTGAAATGTATTTTTAGCTTCATCCATAATTATCGAAACATTGCATCTTTGGCGATTTGATTAGAGTGGTTATTAATTTCTCGAATTTCCTATTATCTTCAACACAAATGACATGTAATTGTTATGTTTGTTTGTTTTTCACTGTCGAGCAAATTTTTTCATCAAAACAGCTTTGTTGAAAAAGTGGTCCGCGTTAGTGTGAATTTAATTAAATTTAATACAATTAGGTTAACCTGAATGAAGATGAATGTAATTAATTTCCAGAAACATTTTTCCTAGCTGAAAACATTCTCGACATAAAAGATCTTTTCATAGTTTCCTCTAGAATCACTATATATCGAAGAGATTCTAATAATAAAATGCTATCTCCCTGCACTCTAAACGAGTTTTCGAAAAATATATTAGAATCCGAAGGATATTTCAACTAAATATTCATCAGAATTTTCGGCAGCTCTCGATTCACTCAGTAAAAAGATCCTCGCAAAAAACTGTCATCTCCCTTAGAATTTTCACAGAAATTGGATTCGTGAATTAAAATCGAATTTCGGAGCAGTTGTGGAAGTAAATAAACAGTAATTTAAAAAGTCTTACCTGTTTGTCTATCTCCAATAGATGAAGGATTGTTATCCATCAGGCACTTGTGATTTTCGTAATCAATCAAGGATGCAAGAACTTCTCTTTGAAGTTCTTCACTATTTTCAACAAAGACATAAACTGACTGTTGTGACTCGTTCCCCAACCTACACCGCAACACAACTAATTTAGAGGTTATGGGACTGATGGCTGAAAAGACACCAAGCCACCGCCATATGAAGTCGCGCCAGTATTGCCCCGTGGGAACACTTCAGTTGCGCGCGAGTGCATAAACATTTATGAAAACTAACGTCACCAGGGGTGATGCCCTTTCATTGTCATTTTTTCTGTCAGATTCGATATTCGTTTTTTCAATTAACTGTTTACAATAATTCTCATTGTGAAAAACTATTTAAACGACGGACTATTCAGAACTGTCAAAAGTATGTGGAAAAAGTGAAAACTGAAAAAGTTCTTTTTTTCAGATTTTCAAAGGGTCAGTTTTTCCGTTTTTCCAGGGCGAAAGTCGACTTCCGCCAAAATCGAATTTTTCAGCCGGGTGAACGTTGATTCCAACTATTTAAGCGACGGGCTGGTCAGAACTGTCAAAAGTATGGGGAAAAAGTGAAAACTGAAAAAGTTCTTTTTTTCAGATTTTCAAAGGGTCAGTTTTTCCGTTTTTCCAGGGCGAAAGTCGACTTCCGCCAAAATCGAATTTTTCAGCCGGGTGAACGTTGATTCCAACTATTTAAGCGACGGGCTGGTCAGAACTGTCAAAAGTATGGGGAAAAAGTGAAAACTGAAAAAGTTCTTTTTTTCAGATTTTCAAAGGGTCAGTTTTTCCGTTTTTCCAGGGCGAAAGTCGACTTCCGCCAAAATCGAATTTTTCAGCCGGGTGAACGTTGATTCCAACTATTTAAGCGACGGGCTGGTCAGAACTGTCAAAAGTATGGGGAAAAAGTGAAAACTGAAAAAGTTCTTTTTTTCAGATTTTCAAAGGGTCAGTTTTTCCGTTTTTCCAGGGCGAAAGTCGACTTCCGCCAAAATCGAATTTTTCAGCCGGGTGAACGTTGATTCCAACTATTTAAGCGACGGGCTGGTCAGAACTGTCAAAAGTATGGGGAAAAAGTGAAAACTGAAAAAGTTCTTTTTTTCAGATTTTCAAAGGGTCAGTTTTTCCGTTTTTCCAGGGCGAAAGTCGACTTCCGCCAAAATCGAATTTTTCAGCCGGGTGAACGTTGATTCCAACTATTTAAGCGACGGGCTGGTCAGAACTGTCAAAAGTATGGGGAAAAAGTGAAAACTGAAAAAGTTCTTTTTTTCAGATTTTCAAAGGGTCAGTTTTTCCGTTTTTCCAGGGCGAAAGTCGACTTCCGCCAAAATCGAATTTTTCAGCCGGGTGAACGTTGATTCCAACTATTTAAGCGACGGGCTGGTCAGAACTGTCAAAAGTATGGGGAAAAAGTGAAAACTGAAAAAGTTCTTTTTTTCAGATTTTCAAAGGGTCAGTTTTTCCGTTTTTCCAGGGCGAAAGTCGACTTCCGCCAAAATCGAATTTTTCAGCCGGGTGAACGTTGATTCCAACTATTTAAGCGACGGGCTGGTCAGAACTGTCAAAAGTATGGGGAAAAAGTGAAAACTGAAAAAGTTCTTTTTTTCAGATTTTCAAAGGGTCAGTTTTTCCGTTTTTCCAGGGCGAAAGTCGACTTCCGCCAAAATCGAATTTTTCAGCCGGGTGAACGTTGATTCCAACTATTTAAGCGACGGGCTGGTCAGAACTGTCAAAAGTATGGGGAAAAAGTGAAAACTGAAAAAGTTCTTTTTTTCAGATTTTCAAAGGGTCAGTTTTTCCGTTTTTCCAGGGCGAAAGTCGACTTCCGCCAAAATCGAATTTTTCAGCCGGGTGAACGTTGATTCCAACTATTTAAGCGACGGGCTGGTCAGAACTGTCAAAAGTATGGGGAAAAAGTGAAAACTGAAAAAGTTCTTTTTTTCAGATTTTCAAAGGGTCAGTTTTTCCGTTTTTCCAGGGCGAAAGTCGACTTCCGCCAAAATCGAATTTTTCAGCCGGGTGAACGTTGATTCCAACTATTTAAGCGACGGGCTGGTCAGAACTGTCAAAAGTATGGGGAAAAAGTGAAAACTGAAAAAGTTCTTTTTTTCAGATTTTCAAAGGGTCAGTTTTTCCGTTTTTCCAGGGCGAAAGTCGACTTCCGCCAAAATCGAATTTTTCAGCCGGGTGAACGTTGATTCCAACTATTTAAGCGACGGGCTGGTCAGAACTGTCAAAAGTATGGGGAAAAAGTGAAAACTGAAAAAGTTCTTTTTTTCAGATTTTCAAAGGGTCAGTTTTTCCGTTTTTCCAGGGCGAAAGTCGACTTCCGCCAAAATCGAATTTTTCAGCCGGGTGAACGTTGATTCCAACTATTTAAGCGACGGGCTATTCAGAACTCTCAAAAGTATGGGGAAAAAGTGAAAACTGAAAAAGTTCTTTTTTTCAGATTTTCAAACGGTCAAATTTTCCGTTTTTCCAGGGGGAAAGTCGACTTCCGCCAAAATCGAATTTTTCAGCCGGGTGAACGTTGATTCCAACTATTTAAGCGACGGGCTATTCAGAACTCTCAAAAGTATCCTATCGTAAAAAGAAAACAGGAAATCGATCTCGAAATATCTCGAAAATCTCAAGTAAGCGTAAGCGTAAGACTGAAACCGAAGCGCCACTATGTGAGGAGATGAGCAGGCGCGTGCGTAGCCCATTTAGATAAAGATGAAAGAAATGTTTAAAAAAATTTGTGCAAAGTACAAATAAATCAAGTGAACAATACCGCTCTGCTACTTGATCCTGTGGTTTCCACAGATTATCCGCTTTGAATTTTCTGCATCAGTTCCTCCAAAATTTCCAGTATGAATCATTCGCCGGAACAGGTGATGCCACGAATTGTTGACATTCGTGGCCTTGAAAAAATATTTTCATCACTTACCACCTGAGGACAAAAAAGGAAGAACCAAATACGTCAGAATAAAATTTATAATGTAGGGAAATCGTGGAGATATTGGAGAAAATTAAAAATTTCTTCAAAATTAATACCTGCTGCATTATCTGAAGTTGCTTTGCTCCCCAATCCGGCAATCCGTCTTCCGCGATCGACCCCTTCAGATCGCGATGTTGAAATTCACCACTATTTATTTCTTACAGATAACACAAGAAAGAAACCACGACTTGAAAACGTTTTAAATTAATTTTCACACAACACTATTCACTACTGACACAATAATTTTCATCGTCATCTGAATCTCAATTAAACTCCGAAGGTGAATTCTATTATTTATTATTTAGTACAGAGGGCACGGGTGGGAGTGTATCGACGGTCTCGCGTGATTTAATTTTATCTCGATTCATTGAACCCGATCATAACATGAATTTTAATATTTCGAACACTCTTTCGCATTCACTAAATTATTTTTCACTGATATTCACAAAACTTCACTGACACTCACGAAAAAAACTAATTATAAATTCACTTCAGAAAAAAATTACCAAAAACATTTCAAACTTATTTTCACACCTCTTGAATTTTTTCCGTGTTCCCACATTTCACTCGAATAATTTCTACTCGTATCTCAATATTAATTGCACAAATTCTTATGCCGATGTCTACAATTAATTGTTCAGAGCACACAGTACGAGTGCGACGAATGCCTATACCGGCTTGAGCAATTCAATTTAGACCTATTAAACGCGAGACTTCAATGAATTTCAATGTTTTTACACTTTTGCACCTTTCATAAAGCATTGCTCACTGTTATTAATCACCGACACTCACGAATTACCGGGATAAAACGAATGATTCACGCGATTTTACGGACCATGTCGATGATTTCGGCGGGGGACAGTGCACTGAACAAGATGGCGGCCTGAACTCCCCCTTCCAAGTCGCCAAGGGAGGAAAAACGCGGGAAAAGATTATTACGCCGGGGGAAGGGCTGTAGCGAGGATTTTTCTGCCTGCGGGGGTTGCAAAACTCCACAAATCATCTGGATACAACAATAATCCACGAATAATCACTGCGATTATTTTCATTCTCGTCCAATTGCTTCAACGAACGAAAAAATATTCCACACTTTTTTCACACTTTCTACTGTCTTTTTCCCGTTGATTCCATTCCCATTTTATTACGATCGAAGTCCAGTTAATTTAATTATTAAAATTCGGGGGAAGTGAGACACGTGAATTTGTTCCGGAAAAAAATTACTCGAGGGAGCGGACGTGCCCGTGCGGCGAGCGAGGATCGAATGACGGATGGGACAAGAGACAAAGGACCACTACGTTCGGTCTGAGGGGGCGGGGAGCAGTACCGCGCTGATTTTTCGCGCAGATGACGGTTGAAAATTTTTAACAAAGAGAGAAAAATCCTCCGCCGATTTTCTATGATTCGATTGCTCAAAGGAGATAAATGAATTGTATTTTATAAAACTCTTCAAAAAATTGTTTCAAAAAATAATTGAGATGGTCGATGAGGTGAGAGGAAATGGAAAAATTCGTGAGAGTTATGAACTGAATAAAAATGTATGTATTTCGGGTTAAGGAGAGACTACTGAGTTTTAAAAAGACTGACCTTCAAATCGACGAAAATGGAAATGTCTCGCGATGGAGAGCTTTCGTCGATTTTTGCCATTGATTGTTCTAAACAAAACGACCGCTGGAAAAAAGAATTGATAGAAGAATTTCAAAAAATCAGTGGAAAAATAATTCAAGATTTTTTCTGTTGAAGTAATAAATGATGAATAGAATAAAATGACTGGAAAATTAATTTCTAAAAAAATTGAAAATTCTGGATATGTCCAGGGCAATACAGAAAAAAGTATCAGTGAAGCAAGAAAGGATTTTCAATCGCTTTTTGTAAAAAAAAATATGACAATGAAAATAAAAAAATATTATATAAAATATAGAAAATCGAACTGCTCGTAGAATGCCCAAATACTTTCACTAAATCCCTAATCATCTCGAAAACGCGTCAGTCTAGAAGAAAATGTCAATTAATCTTTTTTGTACAGAATTAAATTCCCAACAAAAAACTTGTAGTGAGGTTTTTCCCTAGACCCACTCCTTAATGAGATAGTTACGCATTTGAAGAGATGACAACATTTCTCGTGTGTACCTATGAAATAAAAGAGCCTGTGAATCCCCTACTTTTACAAAAACTTTATTGTCTTCCTTTCCTCTTTATCTGGAAATTTCTCTTAAAGCTATGACATCATTTTTTGTTAATCTTGATAATCATTAAATCCAAACCATGGAATTAATTCGTTTATAACGAATGAGTATTGGATACAAGAATAACAAATACTTTGAGTTCAACGGAGTCTGAGGTATGAGTACAAAATGCATGAGTTATGTACATAAGCTTAATTAATTATGAAACTTAATGAATAATCATCACTTGTGAATGTCCACTTGACGAGAAGCCATTTTATCCACATTTAAAGCCCAAAATGACAACTTCATTAACCTCTTCTTATGATTCCGAAAGTTTCATTCGTATCATTTTTTCACTAATCCTACTATTAATTATTTAGTGATTTCTCTATAACAAATGGGTATTCGATACAAGAATAAATACTTTGGCTTCAACGGAGTTTGAATACAGCTGGCGTTCATGATCGAAGAATTATATGATGATGTAACATCTTTCTGAATTTTGAATTCAGAATAACGCGTTTTTCGTGTGGATGTAACGCTTATGTACATGAGAGGAAGTATTGTAGAAGGTTTACTCGCGAATTCTAGCCTTGAGGTCTCGACATTTAATGTCGAGAAGTTCTATTTTCTTCCCAAAGTGTCGTTCCATTTCGTTGCAGATAGCCATTGCCAGGGGGGAGTCGATGAGGTTTACGGCGACTCCTTTCTTTCCAAATCTGCCTGTTCTACCGATCCTGTGGAGGTACGTCTCGTGGTCTGCATTGGACTGCTGATCAACTGGGAGATCGTAATTAACCACCAGAGATACCTGATCCACGTCAATGCCTTGAGGGAATGCAATTGTGAAATTAGAATGGGTTCAAAATTTATCCAGAGTCAGAGTTAGAATTTACCTGGACGAAAAATTGAAGTTTTTTGCGTAAAAAATAATCTGAAGCTTATAGACGTCATCTGGGGTAGTAAAGCTATTACTGAAGTACATTTCAGATGACAATAATAATTTTTTAAATTGAATATTTCTTCAATTGAACAGTCGTTCATCCCATCACCATCGGTGACAAAATAAAAAATATGGGATGAATTGAATGGGGAATGAGTTGAATATTGATTTGGAAACGATTTTTTTAACGAAAAAACAGATCAGATTTTTGAGTTTTCACTAAAACCGTTGATTCATCTCAATAAATCGTGAATATTGTAGTTCCATGTTGTAAAGATCTCTGTGAGATTATTATTCATTCAATTATGGAAAATAGTAGTTCAACTATTCCTAGAACAGAATCAACATTCTTGAAATTTAGCTCATTTCAAGTTTTTTCCTCAAATTTTTTGTAACTAAACAATTGTTTCACGTCATCTACAGTATTAAATTCCTTTAGAGTATCTTTGTCGCATTAAAAACGGATGTAATTCTCCTGGACACATTTTTCAGTGAACTCTGGCTTAAATGTTCAGTCAACTGGGAAATCTACTTTACTGAAAGATCAATTTTTGTTCTGTTCTCTCCTAAAATAAAATCGACTCATCCTGTCCTGTCATTTGACCACTCAATCCATACTTGTAAGAAACAGCTGCGGTGATTACCTCGAGCTAACACATTAGTTGTCACCAGAACTGTGACGCAGCCCTCCCTGAAGAGATCAAGAACTCCGATTCGCTCCTCCACAGTCATCTCCCCAGATAATAAACCCACGGTGAATCCCTCATCGATCATTTTCTCAGCCAGCCACGTGGCAGTTCTCCTCGTGTGACAGAAAATGATGGCCTGGCCTGTGAGATTCGTATAAATAGTGGTTATGGCGTCGTACTTGGCCTCCATGTCCTGGCAGTTGACGTACAACTGCTTGATGTTGTCCAAACATTGTTCCTCCCTCTTGAGTCTGATGATCATGGGATCATCGACAATGATCTCAGCAAAGTCCATCACTTCTTTTTCGTAGGTCGCCGAGAAGAACATCACCTGACAGGTCTTGGGCAACATCTTGTGCATCCTGATGCACTGGTCCTGATGACCCTGTGTGGCAATCATCACGTCTGCCTCGTCGAGTACAAAAACATTGATTTTGTCGAGATTGAAGAATCGAAATTTGAGGGACCAGTCCAGGGCTTTGCCAGGGGTGCCGATGATTATGTGGTCGGTTATCTTCTCACCTCTTGCCACTGGAAAAGATGAATGCATTAAATTCAGTAGCAAAGTGGTAAAACGGTCCAAGTCAATTTTGACTATTGGCCAGTTTTCAATGAATATCTCGGAATCCAAGCCAGATAGCAAAATTTTTGTTATAACCTTTTTTGTAGAGCAGACTGAGTGCTACAACAAATGTAATTACGAAAATTTCGCTATCTGCCTTAGATTCGGAAATATTCCTCAAAAACTCAACTGAGAAATAAGTCGACTTGAACCCCTTTACCACTTCGCTACTGAATTAATTTTATTCCGTAATTCTGTCGTGAAATGATGAAACGTCACGAGTATTCGACGTTTTTAATACTTTAAAAAGTATCTCTGGCATTCTCCCATGCACCCAAATTTTTCTACCAACATTTTTCCCCATCCACTCACAATAAATTAAACAATTCTCTTACTCTGTTCTCCCCTCACAGCATACTTGATCTTGATCTCAGGACAATGCTTCGACATCTTGGCGGCTACCTCCCCAATCTGTATAGCCAACTCATAAGTAGGTGACAAACAGAGCACCTGGGGATAAGGTTTCGTCGTGTCGACCCTGCTCAGCATGGCCAGCGTGAAGGCAGCTGTTTTCCCAGTGCCTGACTGGGACTGGGCGATCATATTCCCTGGTGAATAAACATTTTTTTGTTCAACCATGCTTTCACCGAACGACACATTAAATATTCACAGTATTTACATATAAAAAAACAGGTACAGTAGAGGCTTCGTATAAGATACCTCTCTATAAGATACCTCGCGCTCCGAGCGCTCGAGGCCTTCTCCCACTCGTCACTTTTTTCCGTGAGCTTCTTATAAGATACCTATGGCCCCGGTCATTTATCAACGGGAAGAGAGTAGTTATAAGGTTCAAACGGTGTTAAGGGTCAAACGGGAGGGACGAACGAAGTGATCATAAGGGTCTAATGACCTTAAGGGAGGGTCATACCACTGTTTTCAAGTAATGGAAATATACATCGATTTTTTTTTCACTTTTTCCATCGAAAAATCGTAATTTTTCGTCTGTGATTATTCTCGAGTCCACCGACAATTCCCCAACATCAGCTGCCATTCTATCACGCGGGCGATACAAATTCAAAACATTAAACACATAAATTGATTAGTTATTCATATTCATTCAGTAAAAATGAAAATTTCATTGAATTCGGGCGCAACGAGCGAGGTATCTTATTTAAAACCCGCTGATCCTTATTTTTCTCCTCTCTATGAGCGCGCGTAGTGGGGGCACAGGGGTTCCCGGAATTCCACACTCCTACTGTCCCTAAGGTATCTTATGCGAAGTCTCTACTGTAAAGGAGAGTGGGATAAAATGGCCCCATTTGACTTTTTTTGTGATACCCATAACTCAGAAACAAATTCATTAATTGAGATCAGTCTAGGCTCATTCTGAAGGGGAAAAAGTGTAGTTTCCACGGAAAAAAAATGATTCCATTTTATTTAAAATTGCATGAACTGTTAATATTTTTGAAAAAATCAAAAGGGGCCGTTTTACCACACTCTCCCCTATATGAAAAAACTTAATGAAAAATGTTTTTCCTTCAAGTAAACTTTGGTGACGTAGTGACTCTTGAATTTAAACAGTATATTTTTTAATGATATTTCAAGATTGTAGTTGTTTTGTATCTTTCCAAAGCTCAGATTGCATTTAATATCATGTGTGCTTGAAAAGAAATTTAGTTTTCGAGATAGTCAGCATCGGTGTGAGAAAAAACCCTTTTATCATCAAATAAGTGGCATTTGTAATTACCTGGTGGATCAGCTAGCAAAGTTGGTAGGGCCGTTTCCTGGATCTTCGAGGGCTTCATGAATCCCATGTCGTAGATCCCCATCAGAAGCTTCGGCTGGAGTTTCAGCTCCTCGAACGACTTCACACTGTACAGGGGTGAGTTTGGGTTCCTCCGTTGAATTTCCACCTCTTGTTTAGACTCAACGAGAGTTTTGTGGAGGAGTTTCTTGAGGAGGGGCTCTTCTGCTGCTGTCGGGACCTTGTCAATCTCATCAGCAGCAACTCCAGGTTTGCAGCTCTTAATTGATAAGACGTTTACCTGACGGAAAAATTGAAGAACACTTGGCAATTGCTGAGAACAATATTATTGAAGAATTTCGTTACAATAATTGAGGAAATTAGAGGAAAAATCAGGAATTGAGAACTTTCTGTGAGGAAATTCTTGCCAAGAATTGTGTGCAATTGTGCAACAAATGTGGAAAATTGTGTGAGTGCTCAGGAACGCTGACACTGGAAATTCAAGACTTTGATCCAAACTCAGATTTTTGTAGCAAAAAAAAGACCATTTTTAGTCATCAATATCTTTTGACAAAATTAAATGATTTGAATTAATTGGATTTCGAGTTATTGATGATTGTAAACGGTTCATTCAGGCAGTAGAATTTTCCTGTACAATATGTGACCGGAAGAACAATAAAATGTTGGAAGAATTAAAATTCCAGTTTATGAATAGTTTTTTGAGATTTTTTTGTCAACTTCAGCTGAATAATAGTAGTGAGATGATGAATCTAGCGTTCAGAACGTTCGCAATGATCATTAGCTGCACATCAGGGTGAATAAGAACATTTGTAGAAAATTGATCCTTCTTAGTGGCGACTTCTTCCCGTGTTTTTTATTTAAATAAAAACATGAATAATGAGGGAATTCATCACTTCAAGTCCTGCCTTTGATAGCAAGAGTGATCAACAGGTGTTCATACAGAAGAATTGGAAAATTGCTGGAAACTGAGGAAAATTGGGGGAGAATGGGGAAAATTGAGTTTGTACATGTCTTCGGCAGACTTCTTGTTGATAACGAAGAGAATAGGGTGAGGCAAAATGGACAATTTCCATTTTTTTTCAATGTTCATAACTCAGGAATAAATTCATCCATTCAGCTCATTGTCAGTCTAGGCTCGCCAATTGAGGTGGTAAACGACTGTCTCGTCCAACAAAAATCGAATGGCGATCTCCAAATGACCCTGACTTGGAGGCAAACATGTTCGAGAACTTCCTTGTTAATAACAATTGAATAATAATGGAATTTATCACTTCAAGTGATGCATTTCAAGTGGCGAAAGTAATCAGATCTTGATTTAAAAAAATAACGAAAAAGTTGAGAAAAATGCAAGAATCAAGGGAAAATGACGAGAAATTAGTTTGTAAATAACTTCGAGGACTTGTTCGTCTGATAAAAATCGAGAATTATCTCCGAACGTTCTCATAATCAGGTTAAGTCGGCGTTACCTAAGGGAATAGACGGAATACTTACGCACGATGCCAATAGCTCCTCCTCATCGTCTCTACCCCAGTATTCTACGCCTCCTTTTTCCATTTTGATGATCTGCGAGTCGATTATTGAAGGTTCAATTATTAATCCTAATATCCTGTGTAAATAAAGACATGCAGCATCCAGCAGGAGAGCGATTATCCGCGCAGGGTTACCAAATACTTGGGGAGCCGAACCGCCAAAACGTGGCGCTGGTATAGCCCCAAAAAGGCTGATATCCTCGTATCAGATCCGATCAATTAGCCCCTCATGTATAGATATCCAAATTTTTATGAAAGATGAATAAAACAGTGTGTAGTATTGCGTTTCAGTCGCCTGTAAATTCTGTCCAAAGCAGGATTTTCGTTTAAACGAAAATCCTAATCTTCTCAATGCAATATCTCGCCGAAACAAGCCCACGCGATGTTGAAAAAACCGTTCGATCGACGATCGATAATTTAGCTACCTTTGATAATTGCCTTTGGAACCTCCATCGGAGAACCCCTCTCAGCAAATTCAAAAACTACCACGTGTCCAAGTAGAATACGAAATTAAATTGTAATTAAGAATATTTAAGTTATTATTAAGATAGAAGGAATCAGTGAAAGGCAATATAGATTGTTCGTACAATGAGAATTCCACAGGTTTAAAATGACAGTGAATTATAAAATTATCAATACAAATTCACTAAATTTACGTACACGCCGAATTTGTTCGCATACGGTACCAATTCCTTTCACCTTTCATTCAATTCCTTACAAAAAAATAAGAGAGATAATTAAATTCTACTCAATTGATTTCACAAGACCAATACAATTGAAGAAAATGTCATGAAATCCTGGCGTTGAGAATGTATCGACCATCAATCAGTAAATAGTCCGTCTTCAGGACAATCAGTCAAACCAATACATTTAGACTTTACTATTTGAAAAAACATTTAACTATTCGAAAAAAGTGAAATGTATATTTATTTGGTGGCAAAAAAGGAGGGGTTAGATGGAACTCAGTGAGAAATTCAGTATATTCGACGATCTATGAGTTTATTCCGATGATTCAAGCGTGTCTACGTCACTAAACACTCGGCCAAAAATCGAATTATTTTGTGGCAAGACCCTTGATCATAAATTAAAAATGATATTCCTTACAACAAGCGCTCATGCAATTGAGGAAGATGCAAGATTGCGTCAAGAACGCAAAGAAACTTTTAAACTGCCACAATCCTACAAATCTTTCTACTAAATTTTTTTTTCCCTCAGTGAAGGAGGGTTAATAGACTAATAATACTCCAAGTTTGGTGTCGGTAGCACTTTGCGAAATGTCTCATAAGCATGTATTACTGAGAAGACCCTAGGGGCCTTCAAGGATTACATAAGCGTAAAGAGGGAGTCCAGGATTTCTGACATCAAGTGTTATCCATATACACGGAGAGAAATTTTCTAGAAAAATTCTGGTGTGAGTACTGGAAAAAATTACAATCCACCGGCTTTGAAAAATTTTAGTGCTGTTAAGGTAAAATTTCTTGGTATTTCTGGTAAAAATTCTGGGGATTTCTGTGAAATTTTCACGTTTTTCCCAATGAAAGTTCTAGTGCCGGCACTGGAATTTTTTTCTGCCCGTCACTTTGCGCCTCTTTTCCCGTGCTGGCACTAGAATTTTTCTAAAAAATTCCTCTCCGTGTAGGGAATATAGCGTCATCGGGGGGAGAGGGGTCAAAATTCGCCCAAAATTTGCTTATGTAATACTTGAACGACCCTCCAGCAAGCCTTTACAGATCGAGATACGCGGCAGCGTATCGTAATGAATTATACGTCAATTTGCTGAAAGTATCCGAAACTGCTATTAGGAGACCTTACATAAAAAAAATACCCGCAAATCCGTAGTGACTATAGAATGGAAAGACCCATTGGCGTCACATGTTAGCGATAATTCCCGAGAAAACCTGGGGCATTTACTGTTTTATGTCTGGAGACGTTATCCAGAGTCGGAGTATAAGTTTCGAGACACTGTAATTATCTCCACGCGGAATATGTGGAAATTATCAATAGAAGATTTATCCTTCACTCTTCTTTGTCTTTGATCTTGGACATTAGGACGACGCTTTTTTCTTTACACTTACCAAAGCTCGTCTCTGAGTTTTCACTGCTAAAGAGGATTGAAGTGATGTTTTAAGCGGAAAACAAAGACAATTAGTCGTAAATTTCAGATATATTTCTCAATTCAGAAATTTTATTGGAATTTCACCGGACTTGTTTAACACAGTATTTTTATATAAATGCAGAAGTATCAAAAAATGCCGCCAACTGGCCACCAGAACGAAGAGCTCTGAATGCGCGGGTTCGAATCTCCTCGTGACCACAATTTTAGCGACGAAAAATTAATTCAAAATTGCAAAAAATATCTGGAGGAATCTGTAGGTCAGTGATAAATAAGATAGAGAATAGTATTTCATACCAATTGGAATTTATTAATTTTTCTCATCCATTCAAAGGTAACAAATGTTGAAATTACGAATAATAGTTAATTTTTTACCACTAATGTGCTACTTGGTAGCAATATTTCTCATCAACTTCACAAAAAAACATATTTAAGCATAAATCATATGTGGGTCGACTGTGTGACCCAAATTATGACATGAAAAAACGCGACTTCATTTCACATCCCTGATTTAAATGCCAAATTTTTACTCAGAAAATATGTTGAATGCGCAAAAAAGTTCAGCTAACACAATCTATTTGAAATTTAAATATTTTCAAATTCTTCACACTCACTATTCATTCCCCTTTCAATTGATTTATTTCTCGATGAAAATTATCTTTCACCGCTGCAATTCTATAATGAGCAACGCAACCTCGTAACACGATATCCACTTAAAAATCCTAAAACATTTTAAAATTAGAATCAGCTTTTTCAACTCAATTATCTCGTTTAAATGAGATTTACCTCATCATCGGATACCTGTCACTGAATAATTAATGATTTCTGGTATCAAATGTTTGAAAAGAGGGTAAAACCTCCGAGGTTTATACATGAGCAAAACGCAACACAATCCACAAATAAATTTCCAACTTTTACAACAAGCTTTGGCACATGAATTTTAAAGTATGGGATAATAAAATTCGCATATTTAATACCTTACTGTAATTTTAAAATCACCGAATTAACTATGCAATGCGCATTAACCGTGGAACTTATATTTATTAGATTTCTTATCGCGACATGATTTTCTTAAGTCCTTTTTAACGAGCTGAAGATCTTTATCTTTGCAAGAGAATTATTTGTGATTTTGTGAATTTATTACTCGAATAAGCAAGTATTGTGCTCTACTTTGTAAAATCGTACGCACATACTCCAGTTGAGTGTAAGAGCGGTAGAAAACTTGTAAATACTCCCAAAAAAGTTATTTATCATTGATAATTTTTACATGAATTCTACCTTTGATATCTACCTTTCAATTTTTTTTCAAACACTAGTCACTTGATTGACTAGCAAGCTTCTATCAGTGGCAACGCTGTACATTCAAAACTACTGACACAAGACACCATTTCAGGGCACCCAGAGACGATTTCCGCGAGAAGTCGGGAAGTTCCCACTTCGCGTTAAATCGCGATGTTAACATCATTGTGGGAAGCGCTAGTTAAGTTGGAGTTGAAGTTTTTTTTTGTCGACGCATAAGCAGAAGGTCCCGGGATCAAACCCCGGTCTGGACTATCCATTTTTTTCAGTAAAATTTTCCGGTTATTCATATTGAGAATAATCCCGGTTCCCCTCCTATAATAATTTCCTACGACGTCACAAAGATGTGGAACGATATGTAAATTCCCTTCTTCAACGTAGTTATTATCAATAACACTAGATTGTCGATTGAGCGAAACCCCACCTGAATGTTTTTATTTCTATTGATGGTAGTATCCAATATATTTTCAAGCCTACAATCACGAATCACACGTCATGATAAATAAATTGGCAACAAGAAGTTGGAGAAATTCCAGGTAATAAAAAAAAGTGTAAAAAAAGAACTTATTTTTTGATCCTTCTTGTTTTGGTCTATTCTCTATCATCAGGGACTTCCTCTGCAAACAAAACAGAGCCATGATTCTCTTCTCTTTTGAATTCCAGTGAGGGAGACCGGGGCATCGACAATGACCCACCAAAGTTGAAGGATAAACTTTACTCTCATTTTTTAACTATCACCGTCAATCATCGCTGCTAGGCAACACGATTAACCAGTTCTAAATGGTTAATTTTATGATGAAAAATATCCACTATTTTTTCATCGTCGTCTAATCCAAATGAGGCTTTATCAACGATTATTAACACGTTTCTCAATATCAGAGGTGTTTTCAATGTTTGAAACGACTTGTCATCTAATGTATACAGTGACGATCTTTTTTCATTTGCGAACTACTTGAGTGAAAAATAAATTGCTCCTCAATACTCAATGGATATCGAAGCATTCATACAGTGAATATTGAAGCAGTTTTTATCTATTTGTCGATTCAAGAAATTATCAATTTTACAATTTATAAATTTATCACTCTTGAAGGTGAATGAAACGATGTTCGTTTTATTAATCACAAAATAACGAGCTTATAATTATCAGCACTATCTGAATTATATTGACGTAATTACTAGACAACAAAAATTCGCGGCTTTAGTCATGTTCAAAAGTGCAGAAATCGCCAAATGTTCAACCAAGATCAATTTCTTTGCCCGCGATATTTATCACTTTTACTTGCTGAAAAACAATAAGTTGATGTTAACTTCCAATAATCAACAATGTTGCGGATGAAAAAAATAAGAAATTATCGTGCGTTAAAGTATGAAAAATTTATTGTCGAGAATTAAGTATTTTAAAGTTATTGTTCCAGATGAATTCAGAATGAAACACAAAAAAGTTCATTAATGCAATCGGAACGATCCGATGCATTTATTTATACAACTGCATTCATCCAAATGATGGGATTCCGAACTTTGGAGTTGTATTCGTCGATCGTCAATGGTCGACCTTTCTCGAATTGTTATTGTGATTGTTTTTCGTCACCAGGTCAGTGTACCAAAACCATTTGTCCTGAGGCGGATGTATTTCGTTTCATCCCCACCATTCAACATTCCTCAATCTAAAATTTTCCGTATTACACACAGGTGTATACACTGAATCAGAGCAAGGTAACAATTATCCGACGTTTAACCGACGTTTGCCGAGAAGACAGAGAGTAACGTACAAACGTAATGATTGCTTTTGGAAATAATAACAATAATAATTTTTATACTTTGAATGTCGCGGTGTAGCACGTACCAGCGCCAAATGGATCTGCCGTTGATCGTGATCGTCAACTGTGACCTCCGGATGAGATGACAAGTAAACAATAAAATTTTTATAATTTTTGCAATTGAGGTGAGGCTTGAATGGAAATGGATTCCTCTATGTATATGGCAGATTCTCCCAATTATCTTTCCGACTTTTCGGGTCAAATTTTGGTTTCATCTGCCAAATTTTGGAGAGAAACCGCAAATTTGAATTTTTCCACCATTTCATATTAGAAAAAAATATCATATATATGTTTCTTTCGAAAAATTCTCATTTAAAAAAAAAATGGTGATTTTATTGTCCCATTGATTCTTCACCCTTAAAATCGAGTTTTCTCTCAAAATATGCGTTTTTCGGCCTTCCACCCCTTCAAATTTAAATTGATTTTGACTTTTGGTCAGTTTATGATTAATATCTCGGAACCTAAGAGAGATAGCAAAGCTTTCCTCAGGACCTTTTTTATAACCCTCAATTGGCTCTACAAAAAAGGTCATAACAAAAATTTTTCTATTTCTTATAGATTCCGAGATATTTGTCAAAAACTGGCCGATAGTCAAAATCAACTTGACCCGGTTTCCCGCGTCGCTGCTGACTTATTCGAAAGAACATTGTAGAAATGGTTAAATTTGAGGTTTCTCCGCTGTCGATAAACTTACGAGGCTAAATATTTAGGATAATACTCTCTTTAATATGTGGAACCAAGAGTGAATCCAAAATTTGGCGGCTGAATCCAAAATTTGACCCGGAAAGCCGGGACGATAATTAGGACAATCTGCCTATATTTGAATGCACCCAAAAAACAAACATCAATATTAAAATCGGCATTATCGGCAGTGGTTCAATTTGGGGGTATAATATATTCGTCAGTATTATGATGTTTATGTGGGTATTATATAAACAACTGGGAAGGTGAATCAATGTACGTAATATGGTTCAAAAAATGTATATATTTATGCGGTGAGAATCGAATGCATGAATAATTTATCCATTTTAATCTGGAATTCCTGTTAATAACACTGAAAAACGTGGGGAGTCTATTTGTATGAGTGCATGAATTCTGAAAAATTGATGGAAATTTATACGATTTACTGTTATCAATATACAGAAGGAAAAATTGAGATATCACAAAATGAGTGATAAAAGAATTTCATGAGTGAAAAACGTCGTATCCATTTTGATTCCTACTACTTATTATCTACCGTTCAATTCTAATAATAGAAAATCGTGAAAATTCAAATTTTACTGAAAATTTATTGAAATTTAAATTTTTTTCTAATTTTTCTCAGTAAAAGAAAATTTCTGCGGATTCATAGTGAGAATAATCCCGGTTCTCTTACCTCATTCAAATCCCATCCAATCATTTCCTACGACGTCACAAAGATGTGGAACGCTATATAAATTTCCTTCTTTAATGTAATGAAATTTCAAATTTTTATCAATTCTCATCCAACACTTTTGGAATCAAATGAATTTTCCTATAAATTCAATTAAAATTCAAATGTCCACGTATGAAAAAATTCAACAGAAAACCTTGCGAATTCGCTAGAAATTTCTATTGGAATTCTATATAAATTCTGTGGGGTTTCTATAGGATTTCTATTGGAATTCTATTGAAAAATTCTATTTCGCTCGGATTTTGCGACGCAAAACAAAACGAAAGCGGAAAAGACTTAGAAAATTTGTGCCCAATAATTCAGATAGAAAAAATTTAAAAGAAAAATTCAAACAGAAATTCGAAATCCATTGACTTTTTTTATTGGATATCCAATAGAATCAGCGCAAAAAACAAATAGGATTCTTCACTAAAATTCCAATAGAAATTGCATAGAAACCCCAATAGAGTTTTCTAGCGAATTCGCTAGGTTTCCACTGAATTTTTCATGCGTGTCATATTGTTTTCCTTCTCTTCATTGCACATTCTTTCTTCACGCACCACTATTTGGAGAGATACCTTCACTCTCACTCTCCGAAAGCCATAAAAAACCGCTTACCCGTCAACAAACTAGAACTGACATTAACCAAGATAGAAGAGTCAAGAATGCAAATTTCAAAGAATCATGGATTGTCGTTCATTTGATGGGTCGAGGAGAAGGAACATCTTGAATCATCGTTAAAATCAACACCAATAACCGTTCGTTCGTCCAAGCAATGGGTAGAAGTGGCGGGAGGGTAGAGTCAGTTGGAAACGGATAAGAAATCGCTTGTGAGGCGAGTTTCGTACACAAGGTTGCAATAGGTGGTGGGTACCAGTCAGGAAATTCAAGCCCAAGTCTTCCGAGGGCAATTGAGTTGAGTTTACTTCAGTACTGTCAGTGGTCCACTAGACGTTGCAACGAACAAGAGGTCTTGTCAGGGGTGTGCTAACATTAGTTATTATTACTCAACTCTTTGAATGAAACGTAAGTATTTCCACATTTTATCACTTAAGGATGTACTACACCCTTTCGGCCAAAATTCATGTTTTTTTCACTATTTGTTTTTGCGTTTTATCATTATTGACTGACTCATGAAGTTTCATGGTAGTGCAATCATTTCTCTGCATTTTTTTTTAAGTTTTGTGAATTTCCGAAAAGTTTTAGAAACAACGCAGGAAAATGATTGCACGATCATGGAATTTCGTGGGTCGTTAAGTAATGATAAATCGCAAAAACGGTATATTTTTTTACGTCAATCCGATGCACAATTTACTAGAAAAATTTAAAAAACGTGACTTTTGGCGAAAAGAATGTAACACATCCTTAAGGTCGATTTTCCAAATTAACAAAGACTTATTTGCCACTCGAGTGGGGACGCCCTGAAACTTGAAGGTCCTTGGTCGCTGAAGGAACCCGTCAATTGACTTTTGATACATGATAAGGACATGAAACAATAATAATGATATGATAGCAATCTTGTAACTTGGGGATAAAATATTTATTGATAAATTTTCCTCTATATTTCCTCTATATTTCCTCTAATTTTCAACTAGCGATTTTGTTGGCCCAAACAAGAATTGTTTGACAACGCGTTTGTTTTTCTCTCAGTGTACGGGCATTCTCTCCAAGTCAATAAACTGAAGCATATTCTCTGAGTCAATAAGGTTGAGATATATATATTTTTTTAACTTCGCTATCTCCCCTAGATTCAGAAATATTCCTTAAAAACTCAACTGGGACATAAGTCGACTTGAACCCTTTCACCACTTCGCTACTGAATTTGTCTTTTCTCAGACGTTGGAAAGAGTAATTCAGAAAGAAATCAATTGTCTCGTGTTCTATTCGATACTAAAAGATCATTATTAAAATAAAAACTAAAAAAATTGTGTTTTAAACTGAAATACGGAGCAAAATCGGTCGAATTCAATGTGTTTCTCACCTTCTTTGTTCGTCCATCACTTATCACAACTCATTCGACGGGTCCATTCAACCACCAAAGACTCAAGTCTCAGACAATATTCTTACAATTCTCCGTTGATTTTTACTCCGATGTTTGTTGTGATTTTTTTTTCCTCATAAAGACTATAATTTCCTGTTTTTCTTAATGTAAATTACTCCATTCAAGCAATCACGTCTGATTCCTGTATTCTTCAAATCACACACTATTTGATCTGATCGATAGTCGAAGGATAATTGCCATAAGAGTCGTTAGGAAAAAACTGCGATTGTTCGTAATTGCTCTACATCGATTGACACCTATAGCTCCATTCTACGTTAAGTGTTCATTTGATTCATTTCCTTGTAGCATTGATTAACCTATTTCTGTTGTTACTCAGAATGTAATTGACCTTTTCCTTTTGTTTGATAAATCGTCAAGTGAAATCATATGAAGTGGCTCCGCATCAGTGATTATTAACTAATACTGCGAGGGGGCTAGACGTGATGTATGAAGCGAATGCAAAATAATCCCACGTGCTGGGAATTTTTTCCCATCGTTCTTGCTTCGTTTTTTAATTAACCCATTCCTCATTATAAATTCTATTAAATGCACAAGTATAATTGTAGTTTATCGATATGGAAAGTCCATTATGTATCACCGTTGTCAATTTGTCATTGATCCCCCTTCAAAAAGAAGTAAGACACGAATCAATTATTTCTGATGTTGAAGAACTGTCACGGCCAGACAGTCGGAAAATCCGTGGTTTAGTCATTAATCGCAAAAAGCGATGTTTATGAAGAATGATGACCGTGATGTTAGAAAATTGGAATGAATCCATAAGTCATGCTAATTATCTGGAATGAAATTTCCGTATATCCTCCTTCATATCAAAGTTCATTGGAAAATTAGAATAACTATTGTTCACTTTGACAAAACTTCCTAATAGATTGAAATCATGGGCATAAATTGAAAAATACAACGAAAGTGAGACATTTTTCTTGTGCAGATATTTCACACACTCAAAGTGTTCCCCTTCAAGGCTTTTTCTTTCATTTAGAACATATTCTTTACATATCGATATCATCTATTAGTGTTTCAGGGGTGACCACAGTGAATTTTGAAATTTCTCGATAGAAAGTCACGTGAATAAATCGTATGGAAATTTTCTATACGAATTATTTCAATACATAAATTTTTACGTAAATTTTGGTTTTCAGTCAGTATTATCTCAATTAAATTTCGCAAAATATTAATATTTTTTCAAACATTTCCCGCTTATAAATACATAATAAAACTTGTTTGCAAAACGGCGGATTATTTTTTATGAGGTGTCAAAAAAATTCTTGATTTTTTCACATCTGATGAAAAAAAATTGAGACTTTAATCTTTGATTACAATCGAAATGTTGCTTTTCACATAAGACACTGGGTTAAATCCTGATTTTTAAACATTTCTTCTTTGGAAAATCACAACGATAATTAAATTGAAAAAAAAATTAGAATTTTGAATCCAATCGAGTTTTCTGCAATTTTTTTGCAGTTTTCAAATTTCTTTGAATTTACCGTAAGGGTAGAGCTACCTTAATACTATGCTGCGTGAATATCCATAAGACACCAGAGCTCACAGGCCGTTACTAATACCATGTTTCACTGCGAATAAGCACGAGTTATAGTGATTGGATGAGAATCGTTACGAGGAATTGGTTACGATCATCAATACGTTTTGCAATATCTTTCCGCAGTTATCATGTGTCAACTCAATTCCCTTGTGTAATTCTCTTATTCGAATGACGGACAATCAAGTGAAAATAATTGCGCTGAAATTTTTTATGGAAAGAACGGATTTGTCGTTTTCTCAAGATTTTCTTTTCATTTCGAAAGGTGCGTCCAATGAAAATGATTCTTCCATCAGCATTCGAAGCTGATTCATCAAAATCTACCACCTACACGGATAGAAATGTTCAGTAAAAATTACGGAACTCACAATTCGCTCACCGATTACGAAATCCACTCAGAAAATTTGAGTGACGGTATCGTAATTTCTCACAGGAGATTCAGATAAAAATGACGGAGCGCTCTGGAAAAATTCCGCGACAGTTCCATAAAATTTCCCCCAACCACAATTCGCTCCGCAATTGAATATTTCTCTCCGTGTATTTGTTCACGTGGAAAAAGCGGAGGAAAAAAAGTTAATGAAGCGTCAACGTGCAAGAACAACTCGTCAAGATATTCATAATCATGACATATCATCGAGAAGATGAATTATTAATTTTTTCAAATAATTTCCAGCCAAAAAGCGTGCATTTTTCATCTCCCTTGACCAATGTAATACATTTCAACTAACTGCAAGTGTAAAGAATCTCTTCAGAATCCATTAAAAAAATTACAATCACAGATGCTAATGGCACATGCGTATCACAACTGACGGTCACTCGAGCGAGCCTCAAGGTGGATCACATTGAGAATGTGGGAAGTGTAAACAGTTGATGTTGTCCGGTGCACATATGCATTTACTGGAGTAGTGTCTATGCAAGTATGCGGTAGTCCACACCGATTACCATATCATAATCATATGAACGTTAAAAAATGTACAAGTGGTGTATAAAAATTATCAAAATCGCAATGACATTAGCAGCGGCGAAAAATTGGCTATTTTTATCTCGACAGGAATGCATTTTGATAATTCTATTAATAGCCGTCAACAACAGTCTCCTTCACTCATTTTCCTGTGAGTGAGTCATTTAATTTAGGTTTTAATGGGCCTTATTAGGAGCTCTCTGAATAAATCCATTATTTCATTCAAAAACATGATCTCTTTTCGATGGTTCTCACAGCAAGAAAATTCTTGTTCTTGAATTAATGATATTTCTGCACTGAGAAAAAAAATTACTTTTGCCAAGTAAATTTGCCAACTACAAGAAAATCCACACATTTCAAATCAGTAGCGAAGCGGTAAACCGGGTTAAGTCGACTTAGCCCTTCGCTGAGTTTTCGAGGAATATCTCCGAATTCAAGAGAAATAGCGAAATTTTCATTAAAACCTTTTTTGTAGAGCGAACTGAGAGCTACAAAAAAGGTTATTACAAAAAATTTCTATGTTCCTTAGGTTCCGAGATATTCATTAAAAACTGACCAATAGTCTAAATCGACTTAAACCGGTTTACCGCTTCGCTACTGAAATGCAAATATTTGTATGCATTTACTTGTGGCAAGTAAATTTACTTGGCAGAAGTAATTTTTTTTCTCAGTGTGTGTCCAACTCACTCATTCTCCTGTGTGGCCATTGATCTCCTTTCCCGCGATCACTCGTCCTCGAAAACGCATGAATTCATTTTTCCCGAAGAATGTGAAATAAAGGAATGATCTTATCCGCAAATGATCAGGTTTTCGTCATTATCCCACTGCATGTATTGTGGACGACGGATAATAGCTATAATTTCCTCTGAGTAAGATCCATTATTGGATATAAAGGAAATAATCACAAATGATCATCATCGTTTTGCGGAAATACTGATGTGAAATTGAGATAGAGATAAACATTGTAAATGGTAAATTGTTTCGAAACAACTTGTGATGTGTGAACATGTTGCTCGACTTTCTTTTGTCCGGTGCTACCATTGAAGGACGAGCACTCGTTCCTCGAAATTCAAGTATACGGGAAACGCCCAGGGTATCCAATAATGCGATGAAATGATCTTGTTTGCCTTGATTTACGCGTCTGCTTATTTCTTTGTCCTTCAGGGAGAATCATGTAGCTTCGTCAAATCTCGTGCAGAAATTGAGGTTGGTGGGAAATAGTATCATTTCAATGGTGAGAAAATGCGAAAGATTAGCGGTCGAATGTAGTGAATACTATTAGAAATAGGTTGCAATTTCGTATAGAGTTCGGCAGGCGGTCATTTTGGCGGTTGCAAAACACAAAACCCGTGTTACTACCCATCGGCTATTTTTTCCTTCGGCTATTTTTTCGTAGCAAAGACTACTCACTCCACACTGAGAGAAAAATCTGAAGTCCGATTTACAATAAGAAAATAGTTGAGGCATTTTGGTGAACGATACGATTTTTTTTTGTATGCGGCACATAACATTATAGTCACAAGCGTAATTTTTGCAAATCAAAATGCAGTTAAACTAACCAAAGTTCAAAAGTAACCATGACAAATCTATCGTGAGGGGAACTATAAAATAGTTGCAATGACTACATTCCACTGTAGTAATTACTTCTCCGGCCATAGTTACCGTAACCCATGAAAAATTGTTGAGGACTTTTTGACTATAATTCGATGGTGATGGAATATAGTCAGAAGAATTATATTTTTCTCTCAGTGCACAATTGAATGACATCAGGATTTCGAAATGAATTTCCATGTTAATGGAAAATGGTCCTGTGAACATGGGAAGTTTCTCTAAAATTAATGGTTGAAATTAGCGATTGCCTCTTCATGCGGTCATAAACTTAAGACGCGTAACCCTAGATTGGTCACACTATGAGGGAAACCCGCCGCGGGTCGTTTTTTGAAGTGTCTAAAAAATTATAGTAGTTTTCAGAACAACATATTTCCCAAAATAGGAATCCTAAAGAAAATAAATTATTTCGGACAGATGGATTTTTTTTTCTCTTTAACAATTTACATATTATTTTTTGAAAAATTTCAAAACTCACACAGGAAATGCTACTGCACGGAGCGGAAATTTTTGCACGGAAAGAGGTAAATTGATGATTTTTGGACATGATTTTTTGGATAATTTTTCCTTATTTTTGGCTACGTAATTATTGAACGTTGGGTTTTTCGGATATACATTCTCCAACCGTATATTATTCTGAGTGAATCGTTTACTAATTAAGTTATTCCTTTTCATTATTTTTAGGCAATTAAATTTGGGCCAAAAATCGAATAGTACAAAATGCCAGGAGTAGTCGATTGGTACAATGACATACACAATAAAACTGGTATGTAGAGAAATAATATTTTCATAAATGGAGAAAGATGATATTGATTAATTTACAAATTTTTATTTTTAGATCCAAGAACTGCCGATTGGTTTCTGGTCACAGGTCCTGGCCCCCTCGTGATGATAGTCGTTTCGTATGTTTACTTCAGTACCTATGCCGGGCCCAGATACATGCGGGACAAGAAGCCATACTCCTTGAAAAATGTTCTAATCGTTTATAATTTTCTACAAGTCGTACTGAGTATAGTGTTAGTTCACGAAGGACTTGTCAGTGGATGGTGGAATGATTATAGCTTTGGCTGTCAGCCGGTCGATCGATCTTATAATCCCAAGGCGTTGCGGGTATGAAATATTTTGAAGTCTAGTTCATTTTAAAAGATTACAACTCTACCACTCACAAGTTTCCCATGAGTTTCGCCAATTTCTTGTGGCGAAACTGAAGGGTCAGAAATCAGGCTCAGACATAAGATTTTGGCAGTATAAGTAGAGATGGGCGATGTTTTAAAAAACATCGATTATTGAAAAATCGATGTTTTTTCTCATTACGCAAGAAAAAAATTTTTTTTATAATTTTTTTCTTCTCATTTTTTTTTGAAAAATATATCTTCAAAAAATACAACCCGAGGAACTTATGTTTCAATGATAAGTACTGCTGGACAGTTAAATTTTGAATCTCGAAACAGGATTTTTGTTTATTAATTGAAAAAAATATATTGACTATTTTCGGACGTTAGCTACAATAATTGTTAAAAATTTAAATTAAAAAAAAAAGAGACAATTGAACTTACCATTTATAACGCGCATACTCTAGAAAATAATTACTTCTGATTGCGATTTATTATTATTTTTTCATTCTCAATCAATCAACATTATTTTATTCGATAAAAAAACGAAAAAATTTCTTAGTTCGTTCAAAAACATCGATGTTCGGAAAAAAGAATCGAAAATCGATTAATCGGCCGGTGAAAACATCGATGTTTGGGCATGAAAAATCGATGTTTCCGATAAATTGACAAGCGCATCCCTGTGCGTGCTGTTTTACGTAGGAATGTCCATTTTATATCCGCTTTCGTCATAATGAAGTTCATTTCAAATTCATTCCTCAATTTCAAACCTGAATAATAGATAAGTGTACGTACCGCGTGCGCTCGTCTGTTTCTGTTATAAGACGTTACTCTTCCTTAATTCTGAAATATTGACGAAAATCCACGGAACAAATTTGAAAAAAATAGCCGCAGGGCTGAAACCCAATTTATTATTACAGATGGCACGTGCAGTATGGCTGTACTACATCTGCAAGTTGATTGAACTGAGTGACACTGTATTCTTCGTCCTCCGCAAGAAGAATCGTCAATTATCCTTCCTCCACATCTGGCACCACGGAATAATGATAGCGTCGTCGTGGATAGCCATTCGATTTTTCCCAGGTGGCCAATGCACCCTTCTAGGTCTCATCAACTCCTTCATCCACATAATAATGTACGGATACTACATGCTCTCAGCCTTCGGCCCACACATGGAAAAATATCTCTGGTGGAAAAAGTACTTAACACGCCTGCAACTCATACAATTCTCTATAATCTTCATTCATAACTTCCACCATCTCTTCTTAGACTGCAGTTTCCCTAAAGTTTTGTCTGTCCTATTGACGATAAACTCCCTTTTTTTCATTTATTTATTTGGCTCATTCTACGTGAAAAATTACTTCACACCAGAAAAACAAGTTGAAGCAGGACACACAAAAACAAAGAGAAAATTGATAATTGAAAAATCGGAATGACCGATTGAGGAAAAATACAATCGATCTCTCATTTCCATCGATCTACCTCACATAATCGAACAATCGGTCACTTACCGACGGATTCAGACCGATCTATCCAGTACCATATGTTCAGCCAGAATCAGAAACGTTTCGTCAAATCCACGTGTAGGTTGGCATGTTACAAAAAAGAAACAACTTCAATCGATTATGGATCAATCGGTAATGGGAAAATCTACTTTGATGGCAATCTCGTGGATAGGTCATCGACCGATATCGATCAGTCTCTTTGTTTTCACCTTGAAACATGCATAATGATCACAGTGCATTAAATAATTACCGGCCGATGGAACATCGGCACCATTTTTTACTAATGTCTAGTATTTCAAAAATGTCAGCATTTTATCGATATATTCTGCTCTTCTTTGCCCCTAAAATCTGAACAAAATGAACGCCACAAACTCACGATTTCAGTCGAATCATAAATACAAATTCTAGGATGAGAGATTGGACAAAAAAAATTAGCTACTAATCGACATTGTTTTCGGCATTCGGAGATCGCCGATCGAAAATATCGCAATGAAAAGCGACAATTTTCAAAAGGCGATCTGTCTAATGATTGTGTTAATCTTATTGAAAAATGATATTTCTGGAAGTTTGCGTAACAAAATTGTAATAACAGGCACTGAAGAATTTCCGAGGTGTTGACCCTGCGTGGCACTCACGTTGCTTCGTCGGAAATTCAGAAAATTTTTCAATTGACGAATTTGACGTCATTCTTTTAAGCACATTGCCTGTTGGTAGATCGGTTGACAATATGCATTACAAACGCGTATAAATGGAATTCTTCTTTTTCACGATAAAATTAACGATTCAACTACAGAGGTGTTAACAAACTTACCATCATTATCGTAATGTTCATTAATAATTTAGTATATATCCTAACAAAAATGTGACTTGTTGTTATGCAACATGAAAATTTTCAGCTGTATTTGTTGAAAGAAATTTGAAAGAAAAAAAAATAAAGAGATTGAAAGAAACCATGCGGGCGAATATTATGCAATTATTATTGAAGATTATCTGTAAAATAAAGAAATGTTAATTGTAGCTGAGTAAATCTACTGAATCATGGTGCGTCGCATATTCACTGCCGTGGTCAATCGTCGTAAGGTCAGGACTGTGGGACCCGAGCGGCCTTCATTTCCGGCTATTTTAAATAGCCACGAACCTCATCTTCACCTCCTCGTAACTATTCCTCATCCTCTCTTTCTCCTTAAATTTTTACTCCCTCAATTGATGATTTTTAGTGTTAATTGTGTATGACTGACAGTCGTGTACACTTGTAAAAAATAAAGAGAACATTGCCAGTAAAATTATTGTGCCGGTATGATAAACAAGCAGGGGACAGCGAACATATGACAGCGCGCCACGTGACAGTGAGCATGTCACTGAGTGATGTCTTATTTTTTTTCGCCATCAATACAATGACGGCGGGCTTCCGAATGGTCTGAAATATTACAAAAGTTTATAGCTTCACAGCACTAACCAACAGCGAAAATTTCAGGCGGTTACTGCCATCTCCATGGGTGCTGTCAAAATTTCAATGTTTGGAATACTTCGTATGAGCGGGTATACATATTTTCTGTCCAAATTTCAAGTTGATATCTCGATTTTTGCACAGGCTTTTGCACAAGTTCACGAAGTTTTTTTATGAAAAAATGGAAAAACGGGAATGTCTCGAAAACTTTATACGAACGAGTATGTTTTCGTTGATTTAGATAGAAGTCATCGAAACGAATATTTTGAAAACAAAAAAATCGAAAGCGGTCCACTAGTTTTGAAAATATTTGCGGAAAACGATTTGAAAACGAATAGCTTTTTCTCCACAATTATTATGTCTATCGGGCTGAAATTTTGTACAGAGTTAGTCTTTATTAAGACCCATAATCTGACAAAAATTCAGATTTTTAGGAATTACTTTAGCCACTTAATTATTTAATTTTCTCAAATGGTCGCCAAATTTCGTATTTTTACGTTTCAGACCATTCTACATCATTTCCAATCGAAATTAGAGAATGTGGAAATCGAGGGATTGCAATGCTTCCATTCGGAAACAAGAATATGAGGAAGAACGACGAAAAATTTCTGTGCCATCATATTTCTAATCCGTCATTGCGCTTGAACTATCGGGTATAGATATAGTCTGACGCAAAGCCCCCGAATACGCTATTTTATGATAATGTCTGTATGTATGCATTTGTGGAATCTTGCATGTGTGATAATTTGTTTATTTTCCTTCATGGGAATTTTGAGAGATGGGAAAATTAGAGGACCCAGTGACACTGACTAGCCCGAGGGTCACGAGGGTCCCTGGCAGTCAGGATCCAATCCACCCTATCAGTGCCTGATCAATTTTTCAGGATCATCATTTATAAATTAGCTAATATTCAATGAAAACAAGATTCGGAACTGCCTTGAAATCGAATTTTTATTCAGTCGTGCGTGTCTCCAATGAACGGATTAGTTTTTGAATTTTAACTATCAACAAGAAATTGTGAATAATGAAATTAAATAGCAAATGTCAGCAATAACCGACGTTGAACGAGTTTTGATAGAACCTTTGACAGAAAGTGGAAAATTAAATTTGAAAAATAGATAATATAATTTGAAAAATAGATTTCAGAGAAGTTCCGTGAATTCTAGATTGGACCTTGGGGTTCTGCGTAATTGTAGTATATATTATAGTCAAAATTAACTAAACAAAATTGAAGAGTATAGTCCTCTCGAGATGGTCTTAGAAAGCCCTTCTGATCTAGAAAATCTAGAAAATCGCGAAAATGTATAAAATCTGAAATCTCACCGTTACCCCTCTCGGTAACCTGTACGAATTTGGGTCTACTTTGTCATCCATGACTCATGCACAGTTTACTCACCGAGGATCGTAGCAACACTGACGTGTGAGTTCCTTCACTATCACTGTGAAACTGCGACGAATGTACTCTGTATACCCCAGTGACAATGCCGAAAGGAAGAATTCCGTCGCGGATTATTCGAAATTTGGGACTTATGTAGGCATTTAAGGTACTCTGATCTAGATGGAAGCCATCAAGTGGAGTATTTTCAAAAAAGAAATTCAGTAGCAGCGCGGTAAACAGGTTTAAGTCGATCTAGACTATTGGCCATTTTTTAGGGAATATCTCGGAAGCTAAGGGAGATAGCAAATTTTTTGTAATAACCTTTCTTATAGAGCAAATTGAGAGCTACAAAAATGATTATAATGGCTATTTGGCTATTTCGCTTGGATTCAAAGATATTCCTCGAAAACTCAGCGATGAGCTGAGGCGAGTTAAATCGGTTTACCGCTTCGCTAATTCAGGCTCAGTGTACCTTCAGAGGAGATCGCGGTGAAATTTGAATTTGTAATTTATCTAGATAGTATGTACTCGGATATTGTTCATATTATAACAGATTAGGGTGTACAGCCTGGGAGAAAAAATCTAAATAAGTAAGAAGTGGGAGAAAAAAATATAAGAAAGAAACATGAGAACCTTTACTATGTAATATAGTAATTATTGCTGTCCATAAGATCTATTACGATTAAGGAGTTTACCATGCCACCTACACTGTTGGAAATTTCTTGAAATTTCAGACACTGCGTCATCTGAATTTTCGATGATGTGGGGTTGAATTCAATTTCTAATGAAAGCGTTCACTAAATTTCTCATTCATCTTAAAAATTCAAGAAAATTGGGTTTTTCGAGTTAAATAATCATTGATTTTTCAATGAAAGCTTGAATTTCCAAGCTCATCGTGAAAATTGAACATCACATATAATTCAATTTTCAAGAAATTAAATATTCAAGAAATTAACTGATTCGTCAGTGAAGAAATGTACAGAAATTCCATGTAACATTGTTGTTGTTAAAAATTTCAAACTTTTTCACTTCAAATTTCAAGAGCAATGTCCTAACGGTGTAGTATTCATTACGATGTTCCATGATACCATTACCATGCCCGTAGTAATACGTACAAACCTTTGGTAACGTTTTCTATGTACGGATTCCGACATAGCAATATTTACTATTTTATTTTCTCCGTGTAAACAAGGGGACGCCGGAAAAATAGGGGTTTCACTATTCGAATAACTTGCATATAATGGCCATGTTCGCACTCACTCTATCAATAATGAATGCCCCTTACGGTTGAAGTAATAGCGGCTCGGATAACAATCGTTACGATATCAATTGACATGTTTAAACCATTGAAACAATGTAAGCATGACTTCGCTCTAGATCGGGAAGTTAGAAAATAAAATTTGAAATTTGCAAATGAGTAAGAAGTCAAGGTAAAGGAATTTACACTCACACAGAATATTATTCAATTAGAAGCCCGTTCAAATATAAACCAGATGCAAACCTTCCTCCTTGTTTAAATTATTACACCGGACGCTAGTCAGTCCGGTGCTAGTTAAACCCGAGCTCCCTGTGTTGTCGATGACTTCGATTTTTTTTCCTTTATTTTTTCTTTCCGAATACTCAGGTAATTCCAACGGGCACACACACATGAACACAGCCAGATAATTATAATACAATGGTTGTACTTTTTTAACGAAGGTAAAAACTTCTATCAGTCCGATTCGGTGCTCCGCTGTGGATGGGTGGGTCGGTGGGCCTTCAGTTTTCTTTCCCTCAACATTCAACAATATTTATTTACCATTAACCCACGCATCAATGAATAGACTAGTATGAAAAAATAGAACCCATGTGAAGAAATAGAAGATAAAAAATCATAATTTTTTTTTCTATAATTTATATCCGATAGTGAGTTCTAACAGAGTGTTTGATTCAGTGAGAACAACATGGCGACAATTATCAAATCTTTAATAAGATTGTATCACTACATCAATGATGAAGTTTCGGGTAAGTTTGAAATTCCCAAGAAGTAAGGACTTCTCAACCAAATGCTGGGGATTTTCCATTGCGTAGATCCCAGAACGAAAGACTGGTTCCTGATAACGACACCCTGGCCTGGGCTCGCTATTCTCGGATTTTACCTATATTTTGTGTTCACCCTCGGGCCAAGACTTATGGCCAACAGAAAACCATTCAACTTAGACAGAATATTACATGTGTACAATGTCGTGCAGATTTTTGCTAGCGCCTACCTCGTCTACCGGGTAAAATCAAAATTTTCTCACAATTGATTACCACGATAATTATTTTGAAATTGTAAAAAGTGAATGGGCTTTTATTTTCTTCTCTTCCAGGCTTTAACGTTAGCATGGCTGAAAAAATACAGTTTTGTTTGTGAACCCGTCGATTACTCGGACAATCCGGACGCAATAGCGGTACGATGAATTGATTATCATCTATAATTCAATCATCATAATTTTGAATAATAGACGAATCATGTCAACAAGTTTTCTGATGCATTGTAACATCATTTTTTAACTTGTTAATTTATTATTCCAGATAGCAGCATCAGTATGGTTATACTTCCTGTTAAAAATAGTAGATCTACTCGATACAGTGTTCTTTGTTCTTAGAAAGAAACAAAATCAAGTGTCATTCCTTCACGTTTATCATCACACGGGTATGGTAATGGGTGCCTGGGGTGGTGTCAAGTATCTACCAGGCGGCCATGTCACATTCTTAGGTCAATATCATTTATAATTGCCTTTTGCATTATTTAAACAATGCACATCAATTGGCGAAGCGGACTACATTGATTTATAATTTGCTTTCAGGTTTGATAAATTCCTTTGTCCATGTAATCATGTACAGTCATTATTTGGCAACATCGTTGAAGCTTGGCAAGCCATGGTGGAAGAAATACATAACGCAAATGCAACTAGTACAATTTTTTCTCATTCTACTGCATTTTTCACAATTGATATGGGCCGATGATTGTGGCTTTCCACTGTGGCCAGCTGCCATATTCATACCCCAGAATCTCTTCATGATTGTTTTGTTCGGTGATTTTTACTACAAGACTTATATCAAGAAGCCTGAAAATGTTGGGCAGAATGGGATCAGCAAGGAAATTGCAAATGGTAAAACGAAGAGCCAATAAACATCATCACTCGATGGTGATATAGAACTGTAAATTAGGTTTACATATTAATTATCATTTAATTCATCATCTCAATTCTAAATTTTCAATTGGTTTGTATTGTGAATTATCGGAAACTCAATTTTTTGACAATTTCATACCATCAACTGCTCATGATACACTACGTCAAACGCATAATACATAGAATCGAAACAAATTACTATAAATAAACGAATAATCTATTTCTGAGGCGTTTTGTCAAATTATTTCCTATCCCGAATGAGGAGAAAAAATAAAAATGACAACAATCATGGAAAATATTTTGGCGCGTTGGTGGCCTAAAATACCGACATTCGTCCAACTGTCGGCAATCCAGTACTAAACGGAGAGAGAAAATCGTCGAGGACATGTTGATAAGGAAGGAATTGATTGGGCATACAGATCACGGAAAAATCCGAAATTAAATTTGAGCGATTACAAAGCTTCCGCTCGGAAGCAAAAAGAAGAATAATAACGCAAAAAGTAACGGTCACGTGCCCTCCGTTGGGTGGGCTCGAACCTCTGCTTGTTTATTATTTGAACTTTAAGGGTAATCGGACGAGGAGCCCAGCAAGACCGGTAAATATCCCCAGCAAGACCGGCAAATATCCGGAAATTTACCGGTAAATTGTTGGCTAGGTAGGATATTCAAAAAATGTAGCCAATTTTACGAAGATTTTTTCACACATTATTGAATTCGCGCGAAGCGCTGCCTTATGGCCGGAATGATAAAAAATGATGTTTTGTCACTCAATCCGTGACGCGTTGACCCACGGACGCGAAGCGTCAATCACCGCTCCCGGACTAAATGACAAAAAATACTGTTCGATACATGGCCGTGAGGAACTTTTCTGCCTCATATGATTGCAGAACTCGCCTTCGGCTCATCCTGTAACGTCATTCGCCAGAATAGCTATGTTCGTCACAAGGCCGAAAAAACTTTTTCATCACGCTGTGACGAAAAGTGAACTTTTCGGCACGCTCCGCGTGCCTAAAAGTCCAATTTCCGCCACATTGTGATGAAAAATATTGTTCGTAACTCGTGAAAAAATGTTTTTTAGCACTCGTTACGAAATATACTATTCTGACGAGTGTGAGGATTACGCACGCACGAAAAAATTTAAGAGAAAACCCTAGCGAATCCGCTAGAAAATTCTATCGCATTTCTATTGCACTTTCCATTAGCTTTTGGACGATCCTAATGAAATGTTCAATAGAAAATATTCAATCTACCCCTACACTGAGAGAAAAATATAATTCTTCTGACTATATTCCATCACCATCGAATTATAGTCAAAAAGTCCTCAACAATTTTTCATGGGTTACGGTAAATATGGCCGGAGAAGTAATTACTACAATGGAATGTAGTCATTGCAACTATTTTATAGTTCTCCTCACGATAGATTTGTCGTGGTTACTTTGGTTAGTCTAACTGTATTTTGATTTGCAAAAATTACGCTTGTGAAGTTACTATAATGTTATGTGCCGGAAACAAAAAAAAATTGTATCGTTCACCATGATATAAACAGACGGAGGTCTCGAACGCAAGGATTTGTAAGTCGCGCGAGAATAATTTTAATTTAATTTGCGGATATAACCGACCTCCGTCTGTTTATATCAACCAAAATGCCTCAACTATTTTCTTATTGTAAATCGAACTTCAGATTTTTCTCTCAGTGCACATACTTACTGCGGAAGTTGTTCAATTTTCAAATTAATCTAATGCCGTTGGACTTCCTGCGACATTCATTCTCATTGAAAACTTTAATGAAAACGCCATATTGTATGTCATGACTTTTAATTAATAAACTGTCAGCCCCATTAATTAATTAATAACGTGTTTACTCTTCCAACTCTACGTAACAACGTTATTATGATGAATACACGGGCACAAGCTGATTTCCAAATGGCCATTAAGTTCGGTAAGGCAAGATGTTTCATACCCCGTGTGCAAGGTCTAAAGAAATTTTCGGACGAATTATGACACATTCAGGGACCTTCGTTTTGAGGGAACGTGAAAAATTTGGGCTCTTTCTAATTCCCGCCGAACCGAAGGGAAACATTTCTTCGCTCACTCAAGACTACTTGAAAATGGTAATGAATATTTACAGATTTCTAATAAAATCAACGAATCAGGGAAACCTCGACATTTAACTTGAATCAATTAACTCAATTTCTTTTTCACGTAAGAGAATATGTAATACTAATTTTGCAATGTTATCAACAATTCCAAATTGGGTCATTGAAAGTGCATAGACTGAAAAATTGCTTACGGCTAACGAAGGTCCTTTTGCTTCGGCTGTGAGCGCCGCGCCGCACTTTTTCCGATTTTTAAAGCCTCAGAAAAATTGACATCTCACTTTGAAGTGTCGAGCCCCTCACGTACGGGCTCGGTATGTCATGCCGACCCATGCGAACGCGCACGGCTCTTTTCAAAATTGAATATTTCCGAAACTATTGCAGATAATACAATCGGACTGATACAATTGGGAAGGTGAACACTGCAGCTTCAATTATTTATTTTATTTATAATTTTTCATTCATCAGAAAATATGGGATGCGAAGAGTATTGAGCGTGTAGTGGACTTGGTATCAAGAAGGCCCCGTACGTGAGGGGCTAGAAGCCCTGACAATGAAAATATCCGCCAAAAATATAAGTAGTTAGATTTTCAGAATTTTATTCCGAAATTCCGGGCCATCTACCATGTATTAGGCGATTTTTGAGAGAAACATGGCAACTTTGAGCTTGAATATATAATTAAGGGTCACACGGAAATTAATAGAATGATATGAAAATATGAATTGTATACTATAGGAGCAGGTGATGTGCAAAATGACCATTTGAAATATACTATACTATATTGAAGCTATACTATATTGATATGAAAGCAATTTCCCACTTGTTTTTGCAAATTTCGTTGTGATCAAAACAGAAATTGACTTATAAAGTCCAAAAAATTGGATCCTTACTAGTGATGCCGCAAGACAAGAATTACGTACTTCGTGTCTTGTCTTATAATTTTAGGGTTTTTCTCCTGTCTTGCGTTCTGTTGTGCACCTCGACAATTTTATTTTTCGATTCCGTGAGATTAATAAATTGAGTTTTCCTCATTTGCCTCGTATGGCTCGTGATTAGTTGACAATTTGTGCATCCAGAAATTTAGAGAACTCAGTAAAATTCAAGAGAAAATTGTCCCGCTGAATGTTGAACTCTTCCTTGATTCTAATGGGCATTCTAATGAAAAAATTTCTCTTCAAATTGTCAGGTATCAATTACTGAGTCATCCTCGACGATACTAACCAATTGTCCCACTTCTTGAATATTTAAACATCGATCCATCCTTGAATATTCGTATACTATAGTCCAGCAGGTTTTACTTGGCCACCACAAATGAGCCCAAATTCTTGTGCCGTTAGTTACTCCAACTCGTCCCCTCTCTTAAAAAGAATGAATAAAAAAATTGCCCTCCGGCAAAGTACAGATTTCGATTTCGGTCATTCGGTGATGGTACAGCATCCAGTTCACCTTCTTGACCCATTTTTCATTTCACCAAGTTTCTTCGTGAGCCTCAGCTTTATCAACATTTCCACTTATTGTTCTACCCACGCAGCTTGACCAAATGGGCTCTGTAATTAATAGTTTCAATTTGTAACGGAAACATACAAATCATTGCGGGAAAAAAATTAACGGACAATTATAAGGAAAACTACTGAACGGTGTCCTGTGAAAAATCACTCACATTTTTTTCTTGATTTCAAATAAAAATTCTCAAAGTACAATTTTTCGGATGATTTTTTTCTTTACTTCAAGCTTTTGATCTCGTCATTTTCAAGGGAAATTACATCAAAGTTTAGTTGTGGAGAAGATTTCGACCGAATTTTTAACTTGCATTTTAGTTTTTGGCCTCTGCGGTCTAATCAAATCAAAGTTTAGTAGGATTTAATTTTCTGTAAGTAATATTCCACTTGCAATAAGTCCGCACGTTTTAATAACAATTTAATTAGTAGCCTTTCTCGGATATTAACGGTCTTTTCACCAATACTTAGTTAAAAGGATACACTAAAGTGGACCACAAATAGAGAAATAATAATATTAATAATTATATTAATTGATAATATTGCTTCTTCAAGAATATATTTCTTTACTACTTTCGTTGAACTATTGTAATATGATGTCTGGAAGTTTCATTCAGAAATTCTCAAGGATAGTTTCCAGCTGTGAATATTCTAACGCTTGATCAACGCTGAAGTTAAACTGACAGACAGGGGCACTCTCGCGTAAAATAGATTAGTCCCGTAAGATAAAAACGGAAGGCTTAGATTTTCAATTAGCCCTCAATTATGAATTCATTTTCCACGTGTCTAACTCTTTCCTCTTACCTGTGTCTGACAGGTAGATACTGTGGCGAAAAATTTTGAATCTTGCAATACTTAATTCAGTAGCGAAGTGGTCAAAAGGTTTAAGTCAATTTAGTCTTCATCGTACGGAAAAGTGAGGCTAACGATAGATTTTATCTTTCTCAACGTAATTTTCCGCAAAAGAAGAGTGAAATTAGCGCATTTTTTATGGAAAAATCACGAAAAGACGGATAAATTCTCCGGTATTCTCAGCAAATTTTAATGCCGCACTGTTCAGGAATTTCTACTTTATTTCTCTCACGATTTTTCTCTCCGCGCAGAGTCCGTCATGTGAACCATATGAGCACATCGAATTTCCGTTGACACTAAGATTTTATGAATCAGTCTATTGCTTTCTACAAAAAATTTCGAGAAAACGACCTTGAGCGACCGAAGCAGAAATAAATTTACTGGAGAAGATAAAGCCGCTATAAAATAAGTATCTGGCCAATGAAGAAGTGAGGGCCAAGCGATTCGCTTGTAGAATAAACACGGCTGGCGATATACCTGCCGCTGAGCATGAATTCATCAGTTTTAAAGGTGTAAATTCTCCTATAATATTCTCAGCTGTCTGAAGATCTGAAGTGTAGAGAATTTGACGTGAGGTCGGATTACAAGAGAGAAGATATGCGGGGAAAAAGGGGATACCGTTTTAGAAATGCCAAGTCGTAGAAACTGCTCTTTTCCCATAAATCGCAATTGCTCTTCCTGTTGGTCATTACACCTCAAATGGAGGCACAATAGTATTAACTACTGACCGACATGCATATAGACAGGCTCGTCGTAAAATGCCCAACGTCAGACGCGGTAAA